ATTGCATAGCTTCTATCGCGGGCCTTGAGTGCGGGAAAATCCAGAAATTTCGTAACGAAAAAAACCTCACGCTCTCCGACGGGCACGGAGGTGTGGCTTGAAGGCCGTGCATTGTCTAACGATGGTCTAAAGTCGTTTCTTTTCCTCAGTCTTCGACACGGTGTTTGTGTATAAAGTGTTTTGAAATTTTGAATATGAATGAACAAAGTGCATTTATTATTAAGGCTGCTCTCTCGCAAAAAGCTTGAAAAAAACGTGCAGATGAACCAACTTTTCGTCGACACTTACAGAGAAATTACATATGAAAAAAATAGCTAGTAATCTACATGATCTGATACGTGATTTGGTTTAGCCATAATTTTTCTATCGGTGTCACATAATAAATAAAAAATACCCAAATCACCTCCAAATCGATGAGATGAAACCACTTTACTCCTTCATTGTTTATCAAAGAAATATAAAAAAAATATCTACTGCTTTGCAATACAAAATAAAATAATTTGGTTTGGTTACTTTTTAGAAATATGTATTATTTTTGTGATAATAAATTAAAAATGCGTCCCGATTAAATACTGCGTCTATATCACCCCCGCATTCGTCCACGAATTCAGTGCGGGGCGCATCGTGTTGCTAGGTGGACTATATTTTAAATGTGCTATAGTTTAAATTCTCAATTTAGATTCTCAATATGTATATATATACTCGATTAACCGGACTAATTGTTGCCGTTAGGGATTCGGATAATCGAAAATCCGGATGATCGAATGTATGAAGAAAAGCGGGTTTTGTGCATTTGTAGTACATATGTACATACATAATGTTATGTGTTTATTAAAAACAACAATTTCAACGAAAATCTATGTTTATTAAGAAATTATTATTTTTTTAATAAACATTGATTAAATTCCATGAAGAGATATAAATCTATATAACCATCCGTTACTTGCGACAAACGAGCCGCCGTCACCTAATTTTTTATTTAACTGTAATGCTTTTTCACAAAGCAAAGGGCCAGATATCATTTGCCCAGTTGATCGTTTTTGTAAAAACCAACAATACAAAGCGTCTTCTAATTGCCAATTTACTCGCGGACATAGGTCCTTATGTCCGGGACGGGGGTTTGTTAGCGCCTGATAGTAGATCGTCTTATTTCAAGCGGTGTGAAGCGACGATTAGTGAGGTGCGGGAGGGGGAGGCTAGCTGCATTTCTGCGCGCGGTCGGTCACCCCTGTTGGCATCGAGCCGAGCTAGGGAGCAGACGGCGGGGCCGGGCTGCACCCGGCCCGCCGCTAGGGCGCGCTCTTAGCTAGGCACGCGGCGCCTGCGCCGATGACGTTCTCCGGTCGCATTATAGGGATCGCGAGAGTTTTTGCGCGAAGCCGGGTTGTTCATATATTGAAAGTCTCCTTGTTTTGTCTTGGACTTATGTTAATAGAGCGTGCCATTTGAATTTAAAGACAATTAATTGGACAATAAATAATAAGTGACAAATCTTGCCGTGGAGCTACTGAGTAGTTGCGCGTCTTGTTAATATAATTGCCGTACGGCCGCCCTGACGTATGTACTGCGCGAACCTGAGTTTTTTGCGACGCGGTCGGGTGATACAGTATTTTTCACAAATAGTGAGTTCGTTATAACGCGGGTTCGGTTAAATCTGGTTGAATTTGATTGGATTAACCTAATGACAATTGACTTAACTATATTAATGAGTGATAAACGAGCGTAATTTCCTAGACTCTGAAGTTTCTGTGACGGCTTGCCCCTTCGATGGATCCCATACTGGAATAGAGGTGAAGCCTTGGGATCTGCTGTTCGGCGACCAGCGGGAAGTCAGGTTACATAATGCAACACGTACTGAGCATAACACTATCACACACATATACTTACACCTGAATCTTCCTAGGTTTGACCCTACGTCGACGAAATAGGTAAGTCTTGTTAGGTTCCTTTTTAACCGCTATTGTCTCATATTCCACAAGCCATTTAGGCCGACCTCCTGTTACTCGTCGAGTTGAACCCCTGGTGGGCCCGGATTCTACGACCTTTGCCCGGGTAACTAGAGGCCGTAACAATAGCAGAGTAAAAAATTAGAGATTGTGGTGTTTAAAATTTGTCATCTATGAGAGTGAATTTTATCTGTGTACTCTGTAACAAATAACTATATAGAAAAAAATGTGAAAATGACATTTCGCCATTTTTGTTTGTGTACTGGTTAGGAACTCGATCAAAAATTTGATCATTTTTCTGTTTTTTAGTTATTTCTAAAAAATGTGAAAATGACTTTTTTTTGGTTAGGAACTCGATCAAAAATTTGATAATTTCTCGTTTTTATACGTTATTTCTAATGTTATTTTACATCAAATTAATTGTGGAAATATTTTCTTTAGGAAATATGTATCATTATGATGATTCAAAAACGTTTACATATAATAATTTACCTCGAAATTCACTATACGCGATTATCGTTTATTGATTATATGTTGTTTAAAAAGTATTCTTATCAGTTTTTTTGTGTGTTAAATGGATGCTAAATATAAAAGATTGCTTCAGTATTGATAGCAATTTATTAACGAAATATCTGTTGAGAGGTGTCTAGAAATTATTAATATTTATTTTTATTTATTTATTAAAATAATAAATAAATAAAAATAAGTATACATTTATCTATATTGAGTACTAGTTATTCCCCGCGATCTCGCCCGCGTGGAATATGGATTTCATGGGTTTTAATTTTTTTGCGCGGAACCCTAATTCTTTTTCTACAACAAAAGTAGTTCAAGTTATTCCTTATATCATCAGCTATCTGCCAGTGAAAGTTACGTTAAATAGATCCAGCTGTTTCGGAGATTAGCTGGAACAAACAGACAGACAGACAGACCGACAGACAGACAAAAAATTTAAAAATTGTGTTTTTGTTACTAGTACTTTCATATGCATTTAATAAAAAGCTGTTATTTTAACATTACAAACAGACACTTCAATTTTATTTATTTGTAGATATAGATATAAGATATTATTCATATTGGTGTCATTTTAAAGGGAATATCATGTACTATTATAATAATAAAATAATTGATAGGACTATGACACCACTAAGGGAAGTGAAATTTTGATATAATTTACTTGCTCATTATTTTGATTACTCAAATCAATAATTTTTACAAAAATATTTTAAAGTTTCTGAGAATTTCTAAGTGCTTTTAATCGTCGCGGGCGCTACGCTATTTTGGACCTTATGAGGGCGTTTTTTCAAGTTTTTATAGAAATTATGCATTCACTCGGATCAGTCCGGCGATAGCCCTTTCGAGGTGTTGTCTTAACGCAATTCCTTTGTATAGTGCGACGTTGCCACTCTTATTAGTTACTCTGCTTCGTAATATTTTATTTATAGGTGATATTTTGTTTATGTAGGTATTCGATAGATTCCTATAGTCTGTTTTTTTCGCAGGAGACAAAAATAACAGATCTTTATTAGATTCGTTTAGCCCGAATAATACAGTTTTTATGATTCTGGTTCAGATTTGTTTTCTTATCGGTCACCACGCTCAAAAAGTGTAATTTGATTTAATATCAAAGACTTAACTGCATAAATAAAATAAATAATTAATTATAATTGCATAAGTTGATAAAAAATGCTATGCAATAGCTTTACCGCGGCAGTCCCCGAGTGCCACACGTCTTTTTATTCATATGTCCAGTCCGTTTATTTTTAGGTTACGCCGCAAGAAATAATACTTCGCCGCCATTTACGGCAAATAAGACGTTGGCCCTACTACAAGAGGCCATCAACAATGTTCAACCTGAAGACTGACCGAAGGTCGTGAATAAAACAAAAAGGGACATTATGTCTGATTGGGATCGTGACATTCATATTAACAACATAATGCAGTCATCGTTATTAATATCCGACACATATTCAGATGATGAATTCAGTGATAATTCAGATGTTCCTGACTCTGATATAAGTTTAGAAGAATAAAATATATTTCTTTTTAGCAACCTTTAACTTTACCCTATATACATATGTTCTGTTGTTTCATTTATATAATTATAGACTTTTTGACAATAAAAATGAACAACGCACAATTTACGTTTTTATTATAAAAAACATCGACTATCGTAGCAGTACATTCCATCACTAAAAATACATCTATGGCGTTACGTTATACGCATAACGCTTTGCTTAATTTTTCTTTCAATTTGATTTTATTTGTATACTAGACCATTCTGGCGGGGTTAAATTTAAGTTAATACAGTTATTAATGATTTGATATATTACGAATGTGGTACATCTGAAATACTAAGTCATAATTTCTAAATCGCAGCAACTTTCAAGAGTGAAACGAAACGTTACTGAAACTGTCACCCGCACCATGCTAATGCTACAGCGCATATAGTATAGTAGTATGTGATATATTTAATGGGTTAGAATTAGTTGATTAAAAAAATATACATGTTGTTTACGGTATACTGTTAATGAATAAAATATAAATAATGTACTTAGTTTAAAACAGTAATTAAAAAAATTAGAAGATGTTAACAAATATCTAGTTCATTTGTTATACAGCCCAATATTTTTTGCTATTGATTGAAGAGATAATAATTTTAGACAAAGAAGAACCTTTCAATCTGTTTCTCTGTAGAGCCAGCTTTTGAAAATAACCTTCCAATAATAATAGATTATGGGTTCATTGACATCGATGTTTTGATGTTTTATATGGCAACGTCTATGTTAAAACATCGAGATAATTTAATTGTTAACATCGAACATCGATTATCATTGAACATCCCTAATTGAAATTGAATTTTTATGATTATAGTGTCGGTTATTTTTATGTTGTACTTGTAGTTGTACCTATTCATCACATAATCACATTATGTCCTGTGTCTGCAAAAAGTTTAGAACATAAATATTTATAAAAATGCTACTCTTGCATGTTTAAGATACTTGCTTTCATTAATAAGCATAATTTATTTTGAATCAATTATTAGTAAAAGAAATGAGTGACAATATCAAAGTAGTTGTCAAAGTAAGGCCTCTCATTTCTCGAGAATTAGAGGATAAGCTTTTTAACCAATGGCGCGTAAAAAATAATACTTTGTACCAAATCGATCAAAATGGAAAGGATTGTGGATATTCTTGTACATTTGGTGAGTGTTTAATTTTCGGTTTATTTTCAATGTTATGGCACATTTCGGTACCTTTATTGAAAGCAGTTCACGGCATTATAGTAGTAGTCTGTGGACTCACGCTACTTTATACTTAAACAAAATTCTTTTTATTTTAGACAAGGTCTATGATCAAAACACTGAAACGACTGATGTTTATAATGACATCGCCAAGCCGATTGTTGAGGCTGCAACCGCTGGCTTCAACGGAACAATCTTTGCATATGGACAAACCTCTTCTGGCAAAACCTATACCATGACAGGAACCAAAGAATCACCTGGCATCATTCCTTTGGCTGTGATTAATTTGTTTGAGATTATTAAAAACATACCTGATAGAGACTTTTTAGTAAGGTATAAAATTCAATTCAATTAAGTAATCAAATATTTTGTGATATTAATATTTATATTTAGTTTAGATGAAGTGAATTGCTCCTTTAGTTTTGTCATGTCTCTATTTTCAACTAACTTGCATAATATTTTCTTATTGCCATAACTTAAGCTATAGAACTATTTTATTTATTTATTGCACGCTTCGTATGCAAAATGGAGAGATTGGACTCTACTGTTGAATTTTTAAATAACTCAATTATTTTTATTCAGAAAAGCTACAGTTTATAAATCTTAAGTAAATAACATGTTTTACTACAAGAAGCCAATAACAGGCTCTCTAATAGATATACATAGTTTATAATTATATAATTATAGTTTATATTATATAATCTTTCATAGTTTAGAGAACACTAGCTGTTCCCCATGACTTCGTTGGCTTGAAATTTATTATGATTGAATTCCATGGATTTAAATTTTTAGCAAATGATCACAATTCTTTTTCTAAAATAAAAATAAGACTAAGTTACTCCTTATAACATCAGCTATCTGCCAGTGAAAGTCCTGACAAAATTAGTTCTGTCATTTCGGAGATTAGCCAGAACAAACAGAAAAACAGACAAAAATTTTAAAAATTGTTTTTTGTTTAAAAAATATTTTATACGGCTGTGCCCCGCGATTTCAGCCGCGTATATCACATGTCTGCGCCGCACAACATGACATGACACCTTGCTCATGTAGTTCAATCATATTAGCTAAAAAATTGGCAAAATTTATCTATTGGCATGTGTATGTTATACAGCAAAGTTAAATTTTATCCTCTCTACTCCACCCAAATGAACGCCCCAGAAAGTGTCCCAAATGCGCATTTTTTTTTTCAGTTTTAAAGATAACTACTCGGTACATGAAAAGTGGGGAGGTACGAAATGATCCATGATGAATTTTTTATTTTCATATATGATGAATATTTTATATACATACAAAAGCGATATCATTTATAGTTTTTGTGCAATCTGCCATAAAATATGAACATTTTTAATTGATTTTTTTTTTCTTCAAAGTTTAGGTTTATTATAATTTCCAACTTTACCGCCAAAATATGTATGACTAAAGTAAAGAATAGAATATGCTCTCTAAAAAGAGATATCAACAATTTATTTATTAACTCTTTCATTATGATAAAACTATTTATATGAATAGGAATTAATAATACGATACCACAGTAACCAACTTTTGTTTCGACTGGTGATCTAATTGTTCTCCCCCCTCCCAGGGTGGCGTGCGGCAAAAGAGCTTTTTTTGGTCCAGGTCCGGAATTAATTTTAGAACACTAACTACTATTGTGACTCAATTATGATAGATATATTCCTTACATGGACTTTTTTGAAGGTAATAATGAGTATATGTAGTTTTATGTATCAAGTTTTCAAGTGCATGCTAAATAATGAATTTTATAGGCAAAATTTTGCTACTTTGGGTTACGATTTTCTTAAAGATCTCCAATTTCATATGTAAGGACCCAATAATATTAGTGTAGATATTTACAACATGCATAAATTTAATAAAATAAAAGAAAAGCAGGACTATATGCACTACATAATATTTTTTATTAGTTACGATTAAAAAATACTGATTTTTTTTTATTGGACAGGGTGACAAACAAGCATGCAGTCCACCTGATGGTAAGTGGTTGCTGTGGCCCATACACATCTACATCTATCTTTGATTACGAATCAAAATGCAGATGCGTTGTCACCTGTGAGGACTAAGATGGAATGCCTCGTTTCCAGTAAAAAGGGTCTCCAGTTTTCTATACTCACCATATGAAACACAGCAGCATTAAGCTACTATTTTATGCTGGTATTCTGTGAAAATGTGGTCATTGCCCGGTCGAGCTGACCCATTTGTGCTACAACTATACTACTAATGCAATTGCAGCATGGCTCTACCATGTATAAAACTTAAGACTTAATGCCCGCCTTGCTGATACATAGCTAGTTTTAAACAAAAAAATTGTGCGTTTTGTATAAAATATTAAATTATTACTAGAATGACATATGAAAGTAAAAATACAATGTCAGCAATCATATGACACTTTATCAGAGTTAATTTATGTTGTTTGATTTTGATTTTATTGTCTGATTTACTTTTTACAATTACTTAACATAACATAAACACTCACGCCCGTCACCCAGAGGGGTAGGCAGAGACTACAGACTTCCATTTGGCACGATCTAGACACACCGCTCTCGCCTCATGCTCTATACTATGCATACATGCTCGTCGGTTAAGGGTACTCCTAATTTGGCCCGTTTTCAATAAATCGCCAATTTGGTCAATAACTTTTTACTTCTGCAACATAAATTTTCTTTGTCACTCTTTCCTCATTCATTCTTTCCACATGACCAAAACTATTATTACAATTACAGTGTAACAATAACTTGAATTTTCAAGGTAATATTATTTTCACTGAATTAGTACTTACCCTTATCAAAACAACTACTTATGGACAGTGTTGTATGATAAATTTATATGTTTCTTGTGTGTTGCTTAGTATGTTTCTTAAATTGAAACATATTTCTTAAAAAGTATTTATTTTCTTAAGATAATATTTTGTACTTCTGCTAAAACTTTCTATAATAAAGGGAAAAATCAGTAGAAAAGTTTCATTCTTCGCATGACCATTACAGGCCATCAAAGTCCACTGCTGAACACTAGCCTTTTTTTTCGCTGTTATTAGAAAGACTGATGCTCATTTCCTGGTTTGTTTCCCTTTGTCACCTCTTATGACGTCAACAGAACGACATCAGTAATGTGCATATTCATTCTTATTCTACCACTACTCAGTATAATTATTATAAACTATTTACAATTTTAGCGTATCATACGTAGAGATTTATAATGAAACATTAATAGACCTGTTGAATACAGAAAGGAAGAATATAAAAATTCATGATACATTGCAAGGTGTTAAAGTAGATGCAACAGTGAAAGTAACAACATCACCTGAAGAAGTCCTACAGTTTATGCAGGAGGTAATTTTTTATTTCAAATTTTGAAAATTTTTTATGGATATTTTTAAAATCTGCTAAGGTGTCTTCAAGGTATAGATAAGTTTGCATTACTGCAAATGTCAATGTAAGGCTTAAAAATTAGGGTCTGTTTGATAAACTACCCCAAGGTATTTAATGCTTTTGAGAATTTGCAGCAACACATAGAAACATCTGGGACACAGTTGTGACAAATATTATCTGCCAGCAGGAAACTCTACTCAAGAATATAGTGTTATTATTGGTAAAAGTAAGCAGGTTGTTGATGTATACCAGGAATATTGTCCTTTGGTTACACCGAATTTATTAACAACATCTTCAATATTCTGACCAATAATTGTACTCTCTGTGCTCCTTTCATAAGGCAGTCTTCAAAAAGTTTGGAGGGAATGCTGGATACTCCAAATATTTATTTCATTTTTTTAAATAGGATAGGGTGACAAACGAGCACAGTTCACCTGTTGGTAAGTGGTTGTTGCGGCCCATAGACATCTACATCTATCCTCGATTACAAATCAAAATGCAGATGCATTGTCACCCGTAAGGACTAAGATGGAATGCCTCGTTCCCAGTATAAAGGATCTCCAGTTTTCTACACTCATCATATGAAACAGCAGCATTAAGCTACTATTTTACACTGGTATTATGTGAGAGTGTGGTCCTTCCCCGGTACCCATTCATGCTACAACTATACAGTGGCGAAGCTTCCATTAAAGCCGAAAAGCCGGGCTTGCCTTATTAAACCTGAATCAATCAATAATATCAACTAATGAAATAACTCGTAAAATGTTTCAAGCTATTTCAAATTTCCCGCGCACTCCACTGTTCGACACATGTCGACCGATGACCTCGTATTGCCTTAGCGATACTGCTGCTGTCATAAAAAATTAGTTTTAATAGAGCTAATAGTTGTCTCCCTCGCTCGCGTGGGCTTTTTACGGGGCTTTCGAGAAGACGATCGCTCTTTATCTAACCTATGGCAAAAAATTCTATTATGAAATATAACTACGATTGTATATATAGCAATTAGTATAGAGATTTAAAGCCAGGCTTTTGGGAATAAATTTGTTAAAAGCGGAGGCGCGCGGGCAATACGTTTGCAAGTTCATTTCACGTTTCAATGTTTATTTACTCTGTGTGCTTATCTTAAGCGATTTAATATTACGAGTTTAAAATTTATGCTTTTTTAAAGATTTTTAATGAAAATGGAGGATAATAGTGTTCCTTGTGATGAATTGAAGTGATAATCGGAGAGGAAATCTTTAAACTTTGTTGAGATAATACACAAGGTTAAGAGTGTATTTCAGACTTATCAATTATCGCAATTAAAAACAGTTATTGGTACAATTAAAACGTTCACCAACATTTTACGTGGACATAATTAAATCTTTCCATAAGAAAGTGAGATGATTCCACTTATCTCTTATCCATTAGAATTTAAATAATATTTTTTTTTAATTTTGTACTTTGTTCATGTTTTACTTTTGTTCATGTATTGTATTGGATGTAAATATTTTTTTCTTTCGCTTAAACAAACCCAAATGGCTTTCTTCAAAGCCACCGAAGCTATGCAATTGCTGATATGTAATACAATCTATCTAGCAGTGGTATGCCTTCTGTGTGCTTTGTTAAACATGTCCTTGACAGCACTGAATATGAAACTGAAGCGTGGAGACAGATCAAGATTGGTGTATTTTTATAAAACTGCTAAAAACAACAATCTATATTTTTATCAATTTATATCTTGGGCTTGCCCTAGCTTGGAGCTTTAGCTTCGCCACTGCAACTATACTACTAATATAACAGCAGCATGGCTCTACCACGTATAAAGACAAGTTTCTTAGTGCTTGGTCAGACAGATAGCATGGTGCGGATCGCAATGCAGGTTCTGGAAACCACCACCTAGCTATCCACAGTCACCGCAAGGATTTTACATCAGAAATTGCCAGTTCGGTGTTTTACAAACTTTAAATGTAGAGGATGTCTATTGTAAAATATTTATTTCAAGTGAAAAATCGAATTGATTTGTTTCATCAAAGACCTTTCACCTGAGAAAATGAAGGAGAATTTTACATGTTTTATAAAAAAAACTATGAACTCTTCAACCTCAAAGGTTTTTTGAATATATGTGAATGTAAGTGTGTTTGATTTTATACTGCAGTTTGAACATCCACAATGCAAGTCATGTTATAGTAATTAATTATTCTTCAATATTCATATTATTTCATATACCAAAGAGAAAGCCAATACAACATGCTCAATTAACTAAAAGTAGTTTGATGCCTGCGATCTGCGTGGTTTGCGGCGTATGAACACTTAAACTGGTGAGTCACTGATGAGCTGGTGATCCTCAAGGTACCTCATGAGCTGACAGTTTACAATCTACTCCATTATTTTGGAGAACAAGGTGGTGATGGCGACATGAACGCATCTGAGCGGTCACCTTTTTAAGGGATTGAGTGGACCAAAGCCGTCTTCTGAAGTGGTCGCCTTTTTTAAGGGACTACACTACACCTTGGGAGTAGGAGTACCGGAAAGGACGCGTTAAAACCGGTGCCAACTCCGGAGCACACATTTTCAGCACAGCACGTCCAGGGAGAGGAGTGCTTTGCGAACCGAGCGCTGTGTAACCGCACATCCTGCATGGAGCACTCACACCGTGGGATGGTCGGTGGTGTGTTCCCCCCATCCTCGAGAATTGAGTTGCTAACAGATCGGCTTTCTCCTTTGCCAGTGAGTTGTCCTCTTGTGCAGAGATGGAAGAGATGATTGACAGAGTTCCCTTGGACAGTATTCTGGCAGAGTTGAGCCTTGGAGGCCCCAGAGGACGGAATAAAAAGTTCCATACCCTGAAGTACCACATCAGCGACAGAATCAGCAACAACGCTAGAATCATATGAAATTAATCATTTAAATTTAAAGCCGTTAAATCTTTTGAAATGTTAGTTTTATTAAACAGTAGGAAATGATATTTTTATCACATAGATTATAAATACATATGTAGATTGCCGAAAATTAAACAAAAATACAAGCTATAAATAAGGCGACTGTACAGTCTTAGTAGGAAATCTGTCAATGCCTTTTTCTGGCTAACTAACGCCCTCATTTACTCCATAAATTTTTTGTTGGGTTATTATTTCCTAAAATGGAAAAAGATTAGATAAGGTGCGGCTCCCGTACCTTGTGTGCCCGGTGGTCTCCTGTTTCTTCAACCCTTGTGCCTAGATATTTGAATTTCGTGACCCGTTCAAGACCCTGACCATTTAGGGATAAAGACATGATAAGCTCAGGTGTTCTGCATATTACCCGATTACTTTATTACGATACCGGCTTATTATTGGTATTGATGTTAATACCGTATTCAACACTAACGGAAGCCACTGAATCTACTAAACTTTGAAGACCTGCAAGACTATTTCCGATTACGGCGATTAATATCCGTTTTACTAGTAAATAAATATTCCGTTTCACTCCTTAGTGGTAACAACTCAATTACATTTTGACTATTTATCAAGAATGATGTACATCCTAACTGAATTTTTGCGAAAACCTATTAAAATTACGTCATGCCATTAGTGTCTGGCACTAATAGGCAAATATGGGGTAAGGTGTAATGTAGCTCGGGGCTAACCTGCATTCCAGTGAGGTTCTTAGATTTTATTGATGGTTTGTAGGTGCTATGTGCTACAGCATCTACTTACCATCAGGTGGACTGTATACTCGCTTGTCTCCCTATATTGGAACCCTATACATACATATAATTTATAAATATAAGGAATGAGAATAAAATCAATATGTAATATACACTCACAACCTTAGCAAGTCTTAAACACATAGTCAATTGCTAGTGTCATCTAGATAGTTTCTTTGCAGATGTCCTCACTATTTGCAGGTGTTATAGGTTGTTTGTTTTCATTAAATTTAATGGAGTGACTATTAAAAGTCAATGGTTAAAGGCCTTTGAATTCACAAACAGGTTTTAGATAATTAATTTGGGCCATGCCTTATTTTGATATTATTTTGTTTCTTTATGAGGGTAGCTATTTTGGAGAATGGTTTGTGGCTGACTGTTGATTAAATAGTATTTTATATTTTACCAATATTAATTTCATTGTATTGTATTTTGCAACTGCATGCACCCTTATCCATCAATGTATATTCTTAAGGAAATCCTGTGTATATTATTAGTAGGTGTCTTAAAGTATTAACAATTATGTAGCAAATGTAAAAATGTGTGGGTATTTGAAATTCAATTTAGAGTCAATATATTTTGTAAACTACTTGATTAATAAAAAGAAAGTTATATTAAATAAAACCAATTTTACAGATTGTATCATGTTTTACTTAACTGATTTTACTTATTTTTACTTCTTGACGTTCGGTGAGCCTTACATGTTTTTGAAAATAAGCTTTCTATATCATTTAATTACTCACACATGCAGTTTCCCCACTACGTGTACTTTCATTGCCAAGCATATGGTAAATCAGCACTTAAAATTGTAGTTAACAATTTAATTAGTGTCGGCAGGGATCGAAATATTGTTGCATCCTGCTGTGAGATTCATGGTGAGCACAGAGTTGTATTTTATAAATGATGTTTGAAATGAAACAATATTTTCTTACTTTGCAGGGTCAAGCAAACCGGCAGACTGGTTCGACAAATATGAATGAAGAGAGTAGCAGATCTCATTCTATTTTTCAAATAGTGAGTGCCTTTTTGATTACTTGTATAATATATGTGTAATTGATGTTATCATATGAGCCTCTGTATTTAGCATCATAGCATGTGAACCTATGCTTACATTTTCATTGTATCATCACTTAAGGTCTGGTAAAGATTGTCCGTAACATATCAAATACTTTTTAAACCAAACATTGACCCTACACTAGGTTTTCACTCTTCTCTTTTCCTCATTAGCTCATAGACATGGACCTCTCCTATTGTGGACAGACGTTGGTCTAAATATTTTAATTCTATTGTAAATGGGCATCTGAAAGTTGTCTGTATAACTGATACTCATACAATCTTTAGGACGTCACGACATCTTTCAGATATTTCTTATATTCGCCTTTTACGATTGGATATGTAAAATTGGCAAATAAAGCATTTATTCACATCATTTTTTCACCTATCCATATCTAATGAACGCTTATTGTGTGATAAGATTAGAGCAAGAATCAACGCATCCCTACGTCGGCCCCCATGTTCCCCCTGTTAGAAAACATACTGATTTGTAAACACACAAAACATGGTTGTGAGCTCTCGAGCCACCTGCATCTGTCAACTACCTGGATGTTTTACCACATTGTCACTTCATTTAATAGGCGATTACCCTACACTTTGTTTATTGTAATGAGGCTACCACTTTCAAACTGTTCTCACCATCGTGTCGAATCCGTCTATTGACTCCTTGGTTGAAGTTGGACTTACCTAATTAAAAATTTGTCCTAGATAAACATACTCGTCAACAACTTTGAGTATAGTGTTTCCAATAACTACCAGTATAGGTGTGAGAAGGATGTTACACAGCATGACCTTTTTCTTGACCATATACATCTTAAGGCCAATCTGTTGGGAGACACTATTGAGGTCATTGGGCGTAGTACTAAAGTTCTCCAGCAATTCTGCAGTAATGACTACTTATAACTTCAGCAAATTTAAGGTGAATGACATTCGCCATTCATGTTGATATGGTGCAGCAGTAAACAGTCTCAGGGATATAATGTCACCTTACACCTTTTTGTCTTGCACTTCTCTGCAGTTGAGTAGGTTTCCTACTCTGGTTCTGTATTTGAATGGTCATCATAGCTTACTATACAAACACATGAGTATTTTGATATACTGACAATCAACCCAGCACCGCTGTAGGTAATTGTAACATCGCGCAAACGATTGTAACATCGACGGAAGCAAAGGCTTTCTAGTCCACAAAGTGGTAGATTGTACTCATCGGTCTCCTGTACAATGTGCTGAAGGTTATGTCAACAGTATTAGTTTTTGGAAGCCGACTTGTTCAGAAAGAAGCCTACGTGCGAGGCTCGTACGATTCGTAATTAATTTCGAGTTGAATATGAACGAGACAAAATATTTTTAATACAGTGCAACATCGATATAACGAAACTGAAAGGAATTAGAAAATATTCGTTATAATGAGGTTTTTTTAGGTGAGACTATGATTAGTTTTAACATAGTAAGAAAACTTGTTTATTGACCCTTTTTCAAATGGGGAAATGCCTTTGCATACATTTGTGGCCGTGGAAGGAAAACTCCCGCCGGGCAAGGTGTTCTGCCCGGGGAGCGGCCGACACTCCGAGTGATAGTTCGGAGAATTTCTATATATACTGTCTATGAACCTGAATATTATGTAAATACTCATTTATTTAACCTGATAAAGCGAAAGATTACCACTAATTCATGAAAATACAGTATTTTTTAATTTTATCAAAATAGAAAGCACTTATTTACATACCTTAGCATCAAACAACAATAACTGCCTTACTAAGAATTTAACGTGTCCGAACCACTCAAGACATGATTTATTGTGGAATTAAGTAGAAATAATTAATAAGATACGTTATGTCAAGGTTCTTAGTTGAAAAAATTCGTTAAATAGAGGTAAATATTACCTATCTATATTATGCAATGATTACAAGTTTGTTATAAGGCGGTTTTTGATAAATGTATTCGTAATGTAGATGTATATTTTACATTAGCTCTTACGGGCGGTTCTAGGTGATTTCAAAAAAATCGTCAAATCGAGAAATTCGTTATATTGAGGTTCGTTATATCAAGGTTACACTGTATTAAAATTAGTGCAAACTATCAGTTTTACAATTGTATAAGTCCTTTAGAACAGACAATTATATTAACCATTAACAGATATATAAAAACTACTTCAGATGAATAATCACTCAATTATTTTTTTCTGTTATTGAAAGCCAGTTGCAAGACAAGCAAGCAAGCAAGATGGCTGACAACAATATTTCAAAGCTTATTACATGTATTTTTTAGAAACATTGACTTTTATGATCCTATATATATATATATATATATATATATATATATATATATATATATATATATATATATATATATATATATATATATATATATATATATATATATTGACCCAATTAATCTGTTTAGAATCTGATCCACTTAAAATTTTAATTTGTTTGTCTGGCTGGCTGGCTGGCTGGCTGGCTAGTCGTCGGAATGGCAGAACCGATTGCGATGAAACTTTACAAACCGATAGAGAGCATTTCCAGAAAAAATCATATTTTATCCGAAAAACTTCAGGATATAAAATAATGCTAAATAGATATTCTTTAACTATCTTAAATCTAAATAACGAAATTCAAATTCAAATTCTTTATTTGCAACTAAATAGGTACAAAATGTTTTCTTATTGATGTTATACTGTTATGTGTTAAGAAAACCTATTTAGCTGTTTTCAACAGCATGCAAATATTCAAAAGTTTTTATAATAAAATCAATTACTAAATTTCATCTATATAAACAAACTAAAACGTCATTTTACAATCTTTATAAATAAATAAATTCATATATATATAAATTAATTAATTAATGCATCGATTTTTAATTAACGATAAAACTACTTAGTCACTACAATTCAAAAACTCATTTACTGTATAAAATGCTTTATCTACTAGCCATCGTCGAAGTGACATTTTAAACTTATTATAAGGTAATTGCTTAATATGTGAGGGTATTTTGTTATATATCGTGTTACACATTGCATAGCTATTTTTTTGAAAGCGCTTACTTTTTGGAATTGTGTCAAGTACTAATTTATGTGGGTTCCGTAAATTTATTTTTGTTGCATCTTTAGTTTGTAAGAATAAGTGCTTGTTTTGCATTACAAATTTGCCTACCTCAAATATATAGAGGCAGGGAAAAGGAAGTATGTTTAAACTCTTAAAGTAAGGCTTGCATGATGTGTCTGATGGGATGTTACTAATAGCTCTAATACAGCGTTTTTGTGCTAAAAATACTTTTTGAGAGTCTGTACCATTACCCCACATTAAAAGTCCGTATCTGATAACAGATTCTACATATGCGAAATACGCTGTGACCGCTGTATTTTTGTTTGCTATTTTTGTCAATTTATGTAACGCGTACACAAATCTGTTAATTTTGTTACACACTTTATGTATATGTTCTTTCCAATTCAGGTTCGAATCTATAATTAAACCTAAAAATGACGTACTAGTAGCGTTCTGCAGAAGTTGTCCATTATATTCAATATTAATGTCAGAGCTTAAGTTATTAAAATTAATGATATTTGTTTTACTTAAATTAATGTGTAGATTATTATTATTGAGCCATTTATTTACTGAATTAATTATATTTATAATGTCCGTTTTATGTTGATATAGTGGTTTTTTTTTACTAGTCGTTATCGTCATCGATATGTCATCTGCAAATAAAGTAGTTTTATAGTTTGAGATGTCAGGTAAATCATTTATGTATAAAATAAACAACAATGGTCCAAGTACACTACCTTGGGGAACACCAACATTATTATTTTTGAATTCGGATCTATACACCTGAGCTATGTTTTTAGAATTTAATTGTGTTATTTCTACACACTGATACCTATTTTTTAAATAGCTTTCTATCCAACTTAGAGCAGGTCCCCTTATTCCATTAGCCTCTAGTTTGGTCAGTAGTTGATCATGTAACCATCGAAGGCTTTAGACATGTCAATAAATAGTACTGTTGTATAGTTTCTTTCATTTACATTTTGCAATACTTCCTTTACTAATGTGAATGCAGCATGTGCTGTGGATTTATTTTTTTGGAAACCATGTTGATTTTGTTTTATTACATTAAATTTACTAAAAAAGGAAGTAAGTTGGTAATGCATAACCTTTTCGAATATTTTTGAGAAGACTGGGATTAGTTAGTAGATTAGTAGTCGATAGTTGGTTATATCACTTTTATCTCCTTTTTTGTGTAACGGTTTTACTATAGTAAGTTTTAATTTTTCAGGAAAAACCCCTGACTCTAGTGAGAGGTTAATCAGGAATGCTAATATTTCACTTATTTCATTCTTACAATATTTAATTATTTTAGTACATATGGAATCATAACCCTCAGATTTTGTGTTATTTAAAGACATTATTGTCTTTTTGATAATATTTTCATTTATAGGAGTTAGAAAAATAGATTGAGGTACTTTCATGTCAGTTGTATTTTCTATTTTATAATTTATCTGTTTTGTTGCGTTAATGAAATAGTTATTTATAATAGATACTATTTCAGCAGGTTCCGTTACCGTCTTTCCATTATATGTATATAATATTATTTATATAATTTTTAGTATGTACACAATTTGTCTCATTTTTAATAATTTCCCAAGTGGCTTTACATATATTTTTACTATTTACTACAAATTTATTGTTTGTTGTTCTTTTTGCAATGTTAATACATTTTTTTAACATTTTATCGTATTTTATATATTTAGTTCGATCAACATTTTTTCTCGTCATATAGAACTTGTACCGAAGTTTACGTTTAGTTCTACAACTTTTTTTTAAGCCTTTGGATATCCATGTTAGTTTGGTAAATGTTTTGGTTTTTACTCTTATTTTAGGAAAACATAGTTTATAAAGTAATGTGAAAAGGCTAAAGAATTCGTCAAACGCTTTATTTAAATCAGACTGAGCATAAACTTCACAAAATGAAACGCATTTTAAATATTTTTTAAATCTGTCCATATTTTCTACGGAATAATGTCGAACGAAGGAATATATTAATTTTGGTGTGATGTTCTTGTTATTTTTTTCAGTAAACTTTAGTACCTGTGCAGTATCATGATCTGACAACCATAGTGAACGTACAGATCCAATTGCGTCGTCAATGTTACTAATAATAAGATCAAGACACGATTTGCCTCTAGTTGGTTGTTTTATATCAAAATGAAGGTTATATTTTTTCACAATGTCCTTAAGACATATGGCGTAATGACTGGATTCAAGTATATCAATATTCATGTCCCCATTAATAATTATCTCTTCTTTTTTGAATGTTTTATTATATATTTATTAATAAGTGAGTCAAATTTATCAAAAAAATATTCTAAATGACTTTTTGCTTTTGACGGAATTCTATAAATGCAAACAATAATTAAATTATTATTAATAAGATTTATTGCACAGCACTCAAAGTGGTAAGTCATAGCAAGAGCATCGAAGTACTCTATTTTCTTATAATCAAGACCTTTTTTTACTAATATACAACTACCCCCTCTTTTAGATGGTCTTGAAAATGATGTGGCTAATTCATAATTATTTATGAGTATGTTTTTTTTCTTCACCTGTTTTCACAAATGTTTCGGTGAAACATTTGTGAAAACAGAAACAACAACAAAGGGTCATTTCTATTAGTTCTCTTTTGGAGAGCAATCCATGTATATTCTGGTGAAAAAGTGTAAAGCACTTGCTATTTGCTTTGAAAAAACATGTCCTTGTTACTTTGAAAAGAATTTAGCGTATTTTGAATGTCTACGTTACCATCTCGACTTAGAGTATTTATTTTTTGTTTTTTGGTAATATTACGAAAATAAAAAGGTATTGTGCCTTTTTTGGGTATATGGTTAGGACTTAGGATATTATTACATTGAATCGGAATGTTCTTTGTTTGTTTTTGGGACATAATATGAAAATAATAGGGTATAGTGCCTTTTCTAAATAATTTGTTGCATTTATTTTCCTCCTTTTCCGTTTCATTAATTATAATAGGTGACCTTTTTAAAAAATTCTTAATATTTTCGACCGTTAAAAATTGTTTTTTATATTCTATATAATCGATGCGTAAATTAATTTTATTACAAATGTTTTTTAAGAAGTTAAAAGCATTAAAATATTTAACATTCATATTTATCAGTATACAATTCTCAAAATGTTTTGTCCATGATTTTATATTTAAATTTAATGTATTTTTGTCAAAATAAGGATTATAGCATACAGGCGTTAGAAAGACAGAGACTTTACTTAACTTACTTAAAGCTATACAAATATTGGAGTGTAATTTATATATATTTTTATCATTATTACCTATACTTAAAATTACTATGTCATTTACTGTCAATTTTTCATTAATAATGTCACAGTATTTTAATATTTCAGTACTAGTGAAAGAAATGTTAATAAATCCATATATTAATAATAATTAATATAAATACCCTTTCAGAAAATAGAATCTCGAGAACACATAGAAGGCGAGGAAGTGGGATGCCTTAATGTTTCACAATTGAATCTCGTGGATTTGGCTGGCTCGGAGCGGTCGGGACAAACAGGAGCAACGGGTATCAGGTTCAAAGAAGGAACCCACATCAATAAGTCTCTGTCATCACTCGCACTTGTAATAAAGCAGTTAGCAGAAGGACAAAGCAAGTATGCATCTAATAAATGTTAATGTATTATTCTTGGAGTAGCACTAATTAAACGCATTTAAATGTAACCCATAGCCACGGGGGTTTTTTCTGGCATAAAATTAATATTTAATGCCAGCTGCGAGATGTAGCCTAATGCTATGTTATAGCCTATACTAATCCTCATGAACCTGACCGGCATATACATTATTTTTTTATTTCGGACTGGTAGTTATATACTCTGGAGTATAGTGTTTAAACAAAAAACTCTTCCGTTTTATTATATTAATTAAAAATTATAGATTGCTTATTGTATCTTGGAAACAGGTGAGATGCTACATTTTGCTTTTTTATTGCAGGCATGTAAATTATCGAGACAGTAAGTTGACACGAATTCTACAGAACTCTTTAGGCGGAAATGCGAAAACTAGCATAATATGCGCTATTACACCTGCTGCCTTAGAAGAAACAATCTCTACACTTCAGTAAGAATTTTCATTTTTCGTTTTTCCACTTTTTTGTGTTTCCTATATAAAAAGGTTCCAAAAGATGGACATCATACTCTAATAATAAAATTCATTCTATAGATTCGCGAATAGAGCTAAGGCAATCAAAAACAGCCCTGAAGTCAATGTTGTTGCGACAGATACTAAAATGATTGAAAGCCTAACTAAACAATTGTCATCATTGAAAACAGAGTTGGAGAATAAAAAAAATGTTGAAGTAAGTGTTTGTTATACTACAATTCTATCATCCTATACCTTTAAACGAGCAATTCTTGTATATATATATATATATATATATATATATATATATATATATATATATATACAGGGTACTGGTAACTCGACGTATTCCTGCCAAGGCGTGATAGTTGGGGTCATAACCTATCAAATGAACAATAAAATGCATTATGTGGGACTTTTTTTTTTTTTTTTTTAAACTTACAGCTGTATTATTTTTATTTTATTATTTTTACTTAATGAAAACCTGGTTACTTATTTATCAATACTACAATGTGCAAAAAGTCTCATCATTTTTGAAGTAACGCTACTAAAAGTACAACTTTTTCCAAACAGAAGATAAGTAATTAAAAATAAAAATGATTTTGTGAAAAATAATTGTATGTGACCAATTGTCCAAATCAGTTTAAAAACATCCCTACTTATCTTAAATAGTACAGAAAAACTTGAAAAAAGGGGCCAGGTAGACAAGTTCCGAGTAGCAATGTTTTGGGTAATCCCAAACAATCGCTTCTCGGAACCTTATCAACAGCTGAGGGAATGCTCGTAAAAGATTGTGCGTTTGAACTTACGCTATTGTTTACATTTAGTGTGAAATTAGAAACAAGTTAAACAAGAAGAAACTGTTCAATCAGTCATTAGTATTACAGGCATCGTACACACGCGCGCATATCCCTCCCTGTTACACTTAAAGAAGTTGAGTTTAGGAATTGTGCCTTTATATATGTATTGAGGTTGTTGACGAGTTCCTTTTTCCATGATGAAATTTCGACCTGCATTAGTGCCTGTTTATCTTTTTATGTGTGCGTGTGAAAATGCGTTCGTGTGTGTGTGTGTGTGTGTGTGTGTGTGTGTGTGTGTGTGCGTGCGTGCGTGCGTGCGTGCGTGCGTGCGTGCGTGCGTGTGTGTGTGTGTGTGTGTGTGTGTGTGTGTGTGTGTGTGTGTGTGTGTGTGTGTGTGTGTGTGTGTGTCTATGTCTGTGTGTGTGTGTGTGTGTGTGTGTGTGTGTGTGTGTGTGTGTGTGTGTGTGTGTGTGTGTGTGTGTGTGTGTGTGTGTCTGTGTGTGTGTCTGTGTGTGTGTGTGTGTGTGTGTGTGTGTGTGTGTGTGTGTGTGTGTATGTGGTGTGTGTGTGTGTCTGTGTGTGTGTCTGTGTGTGTGTCTGTGTGCGTGTCTGTGTGCGTGTCTGTGTGTGTGTGTGTGTGTGTGTGTGTGTGTGTGTGTGTGTGTGTCTATGTCTGTGTGTGTGTGTGTGTGTGTGTGTGTGTGTGTGTGTGTGTGTGTGTGTGTGTGTGTGTGTGTGTGTGTGTGTGTGTGTGTGTCTGTGTGTGTGTCTGTGTGTCTGTGTGTGTGTGTGTGTGTGTCTGTGAGTGTGTGTGTGTGTGTGTGTGTGTGTGTGTGTGTCTGTGTGTGTGTGTCTGTGTGTGTGTGTGTGTGTGTGTGTGTGTGTGTGTGTGTGATGTGGTGCGTGCGTGCGTGCGTGCGTGTGTGCGTTCGTGCGTGCGTGCGCGTGCGTGCGCGTGTGTGTGCCGTGCGTGCGTGTGTGTGTGTGTGTGTGTGTGTGTGTGTGTGTGTGTGTGTGGCTTAAGGCCTTAGCCCACTTACACGACTCTGCTCCAACACCGCTCATACCCAATACCGCCCTGAACTAAGGCGACAGCTAGCTGGAACCCAGCAGTCCACGCGGCGACAACTAGCAGGCACCCAGCTGTCCACGCGCCGACCGCTTGCGCTTTTCGCGATAGACACAGTTCGTGGTCAGTTTCCATCGTATTTTGGTATTTTCACAACGCGCGAGCTAGCGATTATTGCTATTGGACTTGACGATGAAGCAAGAAGCTTAAAAAACTTGCTCAGCATCATTCCTGTTTTTAAAATCGAACACCGAGTTTATTTAAAAGGCTTGCAGCAATGGAAAACATATGCATCATATGTGGAACAGCTTTATTAAAAAAATCTTGCCGGAATATTTTAAAGTCTCGTTTGAAGTACCCCATTATCAACTTCCACCACCCATCGGCATACGGTCGCACAACGACTCCTGTTAGCTTGCTCAGTGGTGAGCTGATGTTCACCTTCAAGCAGGGATTCCGGCATATATGTACTGTAGCTGCTAGCCTCTAACAAACTAATTGAATCTCTAAATCCCCTGTCTAGAATAAAAACATCGTTATTTTGAAAGTATTGTCTGAGAGGAGAGTTTTCATCTCTGAAAAGAGACTTTTTTATTATATCTGCATCAGTTGTGGTAGCTTAAGCAAAAGCAGTCTACAATGTAGCCATCAGGTGTCACCAGCAAAAATGGTTCTAACAAGTTTTTGTATTTATGTAAGGAATATGTGTCCTTTTGGAACATACAATTGGAACTTTTGTTTATAAAAATATATGTCCCATCACATATAATTATCGCATTTTCCTTATTTTGATTATAAATTGCATTTGTAATCATTAAATTGTGTTGCAACTATTGCTCACGGGATACATGTTCAATTCCCAGATTTCTAGGCACAAAATCTTGTACTAATATTTCCCTAACCTTATCCATTAATCTTTCTAATGTTCGCCTTAGAACCATTAGTAACTGAGATAACCGGTCATCTGATTCAATAGTTCACATCTTCATTAGATGAGCACCTAAACCTAAAATGCCTCTATTTGTTTCTATAAGACTCAGCGTTTCATATAATAAAAGTTCAAATGGTTTTATTCATTCCGGGCCAATAATGAAACATATGCTCATCAATTCTTTCAACACTTCCCATGTTCGAGAAATCAAGAAATGTGTTGAAAGCATTTATAAAAGAATGAGCATGTTCCACTTGTTCAGCCGTAAACGTTCTCAAACTATTTTAAGAATTGAACAACATATCCCAATCAGTACTAAATGTATGTTCTACATCAATACGAGTATTTATGGGCAAGTAATATTTGTGTTTGCTAAGAGTTGTTGAAGTCTTAGAGGATCAGAAATTCTATGCAAATCTGTGTTCTGGCAATCAAAAAAAAAAACACAATGTGCTGCAGTGTTTGCCGCTCGTCTATACTGCGGCACACTAATCACCCTAGGTACTTCATCATCTTGCTGGTGGGTATTTGGTAGGCTTTGAGGTTCTTGGGGTTAAGGCTCTGGCTCTGCTCCGGCTCTGGCTGCTGCATGTTATGTGTTGCAACTCTCTTGAGTATCAGCCAACAGGGATGACAAACATGGTCTGTTGAAGTTGCCTGAAACAACCGTACAGCCTTGTTTTAATGTAAAAATGTTTTGGCTCATTATTATTAAACCCGAGAAAATAGAAACATTTTTACAAAATAATATAAAATTGCAGTGATAAATTCACTATAACATTGATACCAAAACAAAAAAGTACAAAATGAAAAGGTAATTATTACCTACCGTGGGGCAATTGTATTTTCAAGCTCAACATGTATTGCTTGTTGTAACTGATATGGATTTTCTCTCACAACAAGGTCAAATTTACGATTCCTCAGAGAACTTCCACAAAGTATGCAAACATGCTTGTGGCCACGGGAAGATGAGGCACCAGGTTCATTAGGTAACCCGGAGTTTACATGCTGTATTGCCAATTGCTGACAAGCATCGTATATGTAATCTTCTTCGGTGATCTAAAATAAGAATTAGAGTTGTATTATGATGTATGATTGATTAGAGTTGTATTGTGATGATGTATTATGTTAGTGTAGTAAAATAAGTAGGTATGTAAATACGTACTATTATTGAAGAATTTCACTCGCCGATCTTAGAAATTACTCTGGTATTAAGCTCAAAAACATCTCGGTGGCAAAGTGTATTAATGCATATGTTACAATTAATACAGCAATCGCACGCCTAGTTGTTTTTGTTGTGTAGTTTGCATGATGCCTCTCACAATTATCCAAGATGTGAAAAAATCAGTCCGTAAAACAATACCGAGGTCAAAACAACAGAAGGAAATAATAATACTGGCACGGATCGGTGACCACAGATTAAGCGATGACAAATGACGTTCCGTTGTACATATGTAATTGAACAAAACGTTTAGCTTACTATGACCTACATAATTATTTTAATAACAAGAATCCAGTACATAATAAATCAGCATAGTAGTTGATTTGATGTCTACATACTAATTGAATTGAATTAAAATTAACAACTATTAATAAAAACGTGATTATTTATAGTCTTTGAATACCAAGTCCTTTCACACAATATAATACTTATATTGTGGTTGAAAGTACTTGAAAATAATTCTGAACAGTTACAAAAATAGAAATAAATGAATAACTTTTTTGTGGCCACTTAGAGAAGTATTTCTTGTGTGTTTTAAGACCTCACACAATAAGGGTATTTTACATAAATATTTCATATTGGGACGCTATCATTTCATTGTCTGGTACGATTTGGCCATCCTCCTTAGATACATACTTGACCAAGGTAAGATATTATTATTTTTATAATCACATATTTGTATTACAATATATTGTTTCTTCTAGGATTTACATATAAATATGCTTATAAGTCTTGGACTTTATGGAGTGACCTGAAGGTGTTCTTCGGTACCTGCTACTGGAACTCCTCGAAAAGTAGAACTAGGTGTGCCGAGATTGTGCTCGTTATGTTAGTTATGATGAGACCTCGCCTCGGGACTTGATAGAGTGACCTGAAGGTGTACTGCGGTGAATGCTACTGGAACTCCTCGAAGAGTAGAACTAGGTGTGCGAGTTTAGCCTCGTTTTGTTAGTTATGATGAGACCTTACCTCCGGACTTGATAGAGTGACCTGAAGTTGTACTTCGGTTAATGCTACCGGAACTCCTCGAAGAGTAGAACTAGGTGTGCCGAGTTTGCCATCGTTTGTTAGTTATGATGAGACCTTACCTCCGGACTTGATAGAGTGACCTGAATGTGTACTTTAGTGAATGCTAAATTAAAATACTGGTTTTGACTAGATGAAATAATTTATGAAAACAAAATAAAGTTGATGAGAAAAAATATTTATTAACGTCTCAGGTTAAAAAAAACTATTTTTTACCTAGAATACTATAGTGCATACACAATAGAACGGGGGAGTGGGCGGAGCCCGTGTAGCCACTAAAATGTCACTAACATGTCAATTCACACGTATAAATGTCAAAACGAGATGTGTTTTGACATTACAATCGTTTCCTAATTTCGCATGCAAATTATTTAGAAAATGCCAAATTGCACACACGATTTTTTAATGATCTTAAACATTAATCAAAAGTCTAAAATGCGTAAATTTACTCAGTCTGTCAACACTTCGAATCGGGTTTATAGTAGTGGTTATACGACGTTATTGCTTGTATGTGTGCTGCCGGCGACGCCGATCCTCGTACAAAATAAGGTTGACAGCCATTCTATTGTGTATTATAGTATTCTATGATTTTTTACGATAAAGCCTGAATACAAATGCCTAAAAAATTTAAATAATATTAAAGTTAAAAGTTTTTTCAATTAATAATAATAAATTGTTTTTTGAATCTCAATATGTAATAGTAACTTTAAAAAGGATTTTTTTACATTTTTTCCAAATAAGCATTATGAGTTGTGCACTTTTGGATTTTCCAAACTTTTTTTTTGATGTTTGATATAAAATTATCGGAAAATTAGAAGTACAGTAATAAGGTCATTAGCGAAAACTTGTGTGTATTTAAAATACTTTAAAAAATTGACGCATAATATGCGTTTAAGGCATGCACATTTGGATTTACCAAAAGTTATTACAAACTGTTCTCAATTATACCGTTATCCAGATGCTGTATAGTTTTGCTGATAATGAATGACTAGTGAGTGTAGTCTGTAATGTTATCATAAGTAAAAATGATCTTTCACAATTGTTAAACTCTCCTTCGTACCTTTTATAGCTTAGGACTGTCAGAATGAATGTTTTATAGCAATATTAGACTTTGTATAGCAATTTAAATGTTTAATATGTCAAATAAACGCGATATATTTAAGTCCTTCCACATATATCTAAGAGATAATATAACATACACTATAGTCTGCACTCTTACTAATTACTTAAATACTTAAGTTAAAACTAACTTTTGATATGATTACATAATATAAATACATAAACACTCATGCCTGTCACCCAGAGGGGTAGGCTGAGGCTACAGACTTCCATTTGGCACGACCCTAAAACACCTCTCTCGCCTCCTCCACATCCATATACCTACGCACACATGCTCGTCGGTTAAGGGTTTCTTTTGATATTCATTTTTATGTAGTTATTTACATTATTTGAACGTCATGCTTTATTTTTTGCCAATAACATTTTTTTAATATTATTATTTTATTGTTATAGCAAGATAATCACAAGCTACAGAAACATATATCAGTACTACAAAGATTCCTCAGTGGTTTTGGTCAGCAGACTAGTGCGAATATTATGAATAGCAATCGACGGAAGAACCAACAACTGCGAAGGGCGACTATATCCACACCGCATCTGATTCAGGATGATCCTGTGCCAGATACACCAAGATTTTGTACTCCTAGCCTCAAATACAAGTGAGTTGTTAACAAAGTAGTGGAACTGATTTTCAGCAGTGGTAGAGCCACGCGGCAGCCTTTGCTTTTGCACGTATGGGCCGACTCGAACCAGGGTGTTACCACGACCTCACAGAAGACCAGCGTGAAGTAGAAACTCTGCTTCTGCATTTCGTCTGGTGAGTGCAGGCGGCCGTAAGCCAACTCCCTCACATGGTAGCGGAGTTAAATATTACAATAAACCAGGGAGGTACCAGCACCCCTGGTGACGGAGAATCCCTCGCTGGGCATCCACGCCCAAGCTATTCTACTCTTCCTGAGCGAGGGTGCTCAGGCTGCCCCACGTATTCTGGGGGGACTAATTCCGCTTGAGAAAAATGTGACTTCATTCAAACCTTAATGCCGTCCACTACCATCTGGAAACGGCGAAGCTGACCTTGCTCTTTCTAACCGAGACACAGGTGTCCTCTCTGGCTGATACTTCGTATCTCTCTTACTCGGGGTATGAATTAGAACACTCCTTTGTGCCCCGGGCTGGAGTTTGCATGTACGTCAGAGAGGACATTTGTTTTCGACTCCTCGCCTGCCTTGAAGGTACGGACCTGTTCATCTTATGACTGTGCGTAAACAACTACAATCATCCCCGCGTCTACATAGTTTGTACAAATAAAACAATATTGCTAACTACAGCCGACTCTCGTCAATTCGAAAGTCAAGGGTCTCTTAAAATATTACGAATTATCGAGTGTTTGAAATATCAAATGGTTCGAAATTTTTGAGAGAAAATAAATAAAGCTTCGAATTATTAAGTGTTGATCATTTACTATTTATTAACTGCTATTCTCTAACAATGACAAAAGCTTGGGCTTCCATTTCCCACTTCCACTTTCCCCACAAACTTTTTAAACATATATACATTTCTCTTTTTGAAATTTGTAAGCCACCCTCTTTGGGCAAAGTTTTCTCCTATCCTATCGCATTCCAAGTGGTTCACAACATATTCGTGAGAAATACTTGCATAAACTATTTATGACAGAAATCTAATGCTGGTCTTCGTTCTCCATTAAGACGCAAAGTGCATACATATAACGACTATTTTAGCCATATTGATATTTTGAAGGCGAAAAGCTGAAAGTAGCCCGGACTTCTAAGACGTCGAGACGTCAAACATCGAAGTCTACCCTGTGACCTCAGTGACCATCGGTGCTGCAAAGCACCCGAAACGTCGAAAGTTAAATTAAGCGCGATAAATCTGTAAAATTAGTTTTATTTAATTAATATGTATCATTTTAAATTTTGCAGCCCACTGTCTTTGGCTAGTTCAGTTGAGTTCCTACCGATACAGAGTTTAAGTAACCTTGCCAGCGTTCCAGAAGAACCGGAGCGTCTAGTCACACCGCCTCCGCCGGAACAAAGTACTACCTTAAATAATGAAATAATTGTAATAGGTAAGGTAACACCAAATATTGAAATATTGTAAAAAAATAAACTTGCATATTATATGAGATCAAATATGAAATTTACTAGATGATACTATTTCCATTAAGTTCATAAAAAAGGCGTCCATTGCAAAGATTTTTCCGGACCGATACGACTTAGGGACCTTCAAGAAAAGAGCCTACTCTTTTTTTAAAGTTGGGCAACGCACCTGTAATTACCCTTACGTTGCTGTTGTCAATGGGCGGCAGTAGTCACTTACCGTAAACTCACTCCTCATGTAAAAAAAAATATATTTCTTGCCTGTTAGTTCGTTTACACCTTTGCTAGCATAAAATAATCGATCGACCCATTTCCTTACGTGAGTACTGTAAAGGTGTATAGGGCGTGTGGGAAAAGCTAGCAAGACAATATTTATAACTATGACATATAGATTAGGAAGAGTAGGTGCATGTATTTGCTCATATATCGTAAATAAACTTATTTTACGCGATTTTGAAAAGAAAAAGACATTAATAGGGTATTTTACACCATGTAAAATAAAATCAAAAATATATATTTATGATAGATTTTGTAAAAAATAAACAAGAAATATTGATTTCTGTTTATGAAATTGAATTATAAATTTTATATTCCAATTTTAAGAATATTTTTTTCGTCTGTGCCTCAAATCTACAAAACGCTGTCCGCCATATTAGAACATGTCGTGACGTCACTGATCCAACCTAAGGGTAAGCTGCTGTGTCAAGATATCATTACGATTATTAAGTTTTGTTCTGAATTTTATTGAAAACGCATCATGGAAGACGAATTCGTAAAAGCAGAAAGTACTAATCTACCAAGGATAAATAAATTGATGGTGGCAAATTTTTTTGCATGCAATCCCAAATTTTTGTTCTGCTGAGTTGAGGTATAAGTATTTTCAAATTTACTACAATAATTATTGAAAAAATGTCATTATCTATTACATTCAAATTAAGGTCGTAAAGTGGGTAGAAGTCGGAATAATCGACCGCAACTCACATGAAGTCCAGGTAGTAACGTTACTCACCTGATAAGAAAATGTTACTCACAGGAATAATAGGATGCTTTCACATTGAAACAACAAATAGGTACATATTTTTATTTATTGTTAGACTGACACAACTGCTAACATCAATAAATGTATTTTTTACAAGTTCACCACCGAAAACATGCTTTAAAAACTACAACATACTCAAAACAATTACTTAGGCGGTGAAAATAACAAAACAAAAAAAGGAACTTTATTACTTAACCCATTAAAGCATAACGTCCGATAAATCGGACCTTAGTAAATCCAACATTTGAAAGACAAATAAAATATATTTATAGTTGAAATACTACTTAAATAGAAGTTTAATATTTTTTATGCAATGGCAACATTAATTTATTGGAATTAATGAAGTTATCTGCGCGTTATTTGTCAAAGTCTAAAATGGCGGCGCGCAAGTATACTGTGTCACGGCAAGGGTAAGCATTTATTACTATTTTTATTATTTATTCGTAAATTGAAACATTATAAAATAGATATTTGTATTGATAAACTAACAGACTTACTAAATATTAGTCATTTTTCACAAGATTGGCGTTATTTTAACTGCTAAGCCTGCAATTTTAATGCCGTCCGATTAATCGGACGCTATGCACAGCGGACATTACATGTTGTGTTTTTTTATTATTTTGCAGTTTGACGGTGGATGAAATTCTGTCTGCTTTAGAATGTGATGAAGAGACTGATTATGTAGAAAATCGTATCTATGCGGAGCCCCCGATCGAAGACGGTCTTACTGACGAAGATAGTGATAGATCAGACGAAGAACATGAACCTAATCTAAATCATTTAGGACGCAGATTGCTTCAAAGTAGGTGTGAACTACAACGAGTACGACGAGCTGATTGTCATCCTTCTACATCTACGGCATTGTCATTACAGGATTGTTTATTGAGTAGTTCTGGTAGCGAAGATGAAGAGCCTATTTCTTCTCTTTCATCTCGCAATAAGCCAACAAAATCTGCTCCTCCGGCTAAAAAGAAGAGAACTACTTTGTGGAAGAAAAAAGAGCCTACCTTTTCTTGTAGTGATTTTGTCTCACAGCAAACATCATTACAAAGCAAAACTTGTAAAGATCCATTGCAGTATTTTCAATTATTTTTTCACCAAAATCTAATGAAACATATCGCCCAGCAAACCAATATCTACGCTCTACAAAAAAACAAACCTCTGATGGTTACCGAAGATGAAATATATGTAGTTTTAGGTGCTATGTTGTTATCAGGATATGTAAAGCTACCAAATAAGAGGCTATATTTTTCCAAAGATAATGACGTTCCTAAAATGCTTCAAGAAGGCATTAGATGTAATAGATTTGAATCAATTCTTCAAAATTTGCATTTGAACGACAATAGTGAGCTTGGAGTTTCATCCGATCGTTTATATAAATTACGTCCTCTCTTAGACAGTCTAGGTGAATCGTTTCAAAAACATTATGGATTGGACGAAAACTACAGTGTCGATGAAAGCATGATACCATATTATGGAAAGCACTACGCTAAACAGTTTATACGTGGAAAACCGATAAGATTCGGTTTCAAGAACTGGGCAATGTGTGCAAGTACTGGATATATGGTATCTTTCAGTTTGTATACTGGGAAAAGCACCGAAAAAAAAGATTTTGGACTAGGCGGTGACGTAGTCCTGAGCCTTATTGCCCTAGGTAAACTTCCACCTAATAACGGAGTGAAATTGTATTTTGACAATTATTTTACGTCTTTGAGTCTGATGAAACACCTAAAAGAACTCGGCTATTACGCAACTGGAACATTGCGAGCTAATCGTACTGAAAACTGTACGCTCAAAGACGTAAAAGAATTCAAAAAGGAAGAGAGAGGTTATTACGACTTTCGTCTAGGTGACGACGTTTTCGTGTGCAGGTGGAATGACAACAATGTCGTCACAGTCGCCACGAATTTTGAAAATTTTGAAATAACGACAGCAACTCGCTGGTCCAGCGTAAAAAAGGCGAAAGTTTTAGTGCCTCAGCCAACCCTTATATCGAATTACAACAAATATATGGGTGGCGTTGACAAATGTGACCAGGCTATAGCTAATTTGCGAACGCGAATGCGTATAAAGAAATGGTGGTGGCCAATATTTTCCTATTTTGTAGATGTCTCAGTTGTCAATGCCTGGTATCTAGCTCGAAAAAACGGATGTACAAAAGACACTGAGTCATTGTTTGCGTTTAGGCGCTTTATAGCCAGAAGTTTACTGGGTACACACGGAACACCACCACATCAAGGACGTAAACCAGCGAAACCATTGTCCTCAATGCGGTATGATGGCAGAGATCACTGGCTTGTCGCTATAAGTACCGAGCGCCGGTGTGCTAACCAGTGTGGTGGAAAAAGCAAGTTTCAATGCTCGAAGTGCAATGTAGGACTTCACCCTAAGTGCCACATGGAATACCATGTCACTACAACCTGAAATAATTTGTTTACTTTTTAATACATTTTAGTTTCTCAGTTTTCTTAGTTTTATTTTATATTATAATTTAATACCCTGCAGTATGAATAAATGTCCGCTATGCATAGCGTCCGATTTATCGGACGGGCTATAATATCTAAGCCGTCTGAAAACTCAATTATTTTTTGGCTTTAATCCTTCAAGCTCATCCTAAATCATAATAATTTTCAATAAACATGATAAAAAATCCATTAAATAACTTTATGCACTAATGGGTTAAAAAGAAACTTTAATATATTTATTACAACTGGTAACTTGAGTAATAATTATGTGATTCTTTAATCAAAATATATATAATCATCGTCGTCAAGAAATATAAAATCAGTCTCATTTTCATTGATCGACATTAATTCTACAGTCTTGACAATATTCTTACAATCTATTAGCTCCACTTCCATTGACTTTGTCTTAATAAATTTTGTATTGTCATTTTTGCCAACTTTTCTTAAAAAAGATATTTTTACCTTGTCATTGACCTTGGTTTTTCCAAAACTGCCTACAAAATATTCCACTCTTTTTTTTTTAAAAGTATCTAACCAATACATAATCGTATTTTTTTTAAATCAATGGGAACAGTTTCTAAGTTGGAACTTGAAGAGGACTGTGGTTCTAAATTTTGATTCGCCTCTAAAGCAACTGGTTTATTCAAATGCAACATAGTATCTGGGATAAGGCAAGTTTTAGTCTTTTCAATTTTAACTTTAACATTTTTTTGCAGCCTTTAGATTTTGATTTATTAATATTAAAATCTGTATCTTGCATATCCAGGCTATCTGATTCAGAAGCAACGTCGCAAATATCTGAATCACTGTGGACACTCATAGCGATGTCACTATTGCTTGATTCATCTTCTTCTTTTTTCTTTTTAACTTCTTATCTTTTCTTTTAATCTCTTCTCGTTTTTCGTTTAAGCCGGTCATAGTTTTTAGTGTTAAGTGATGATAAGTTTTCTTTATTTTCATTATTGGTAACAATTTTTGGGGTACATTTTGAGGGCGGAATTATAACTTGCGACATAATCTTGGGTTTTTGTTTTACAGTCGTCAAGACGTTAGTGTTAATATTAAGTGAATTCTGATTTTTTGCCATCAATACAATTTTTGTTCCAGCAGTTTCCCGAATGATGCAACTACTTGCTTTTGTTTTCGATTGAAAAATTCCACCATCGTCATGTATAATGTCAATGTCATTGGTTGATATTCCATGTGAAACCACGGGAATTTCTGGCAGCACTGCTCCGCGTTCATTCATTTGCCCAGCTTCCTCATTGTTGCGCATCCTTTTACTAACATTGGTTGAACAATTTATCTTGTGGACTATAGTTTTTTCAGGACGTGAGTTTTCGCGTTGTAGCATTCGCAAATCCCTCTTGGCAAAGATGACTCACAGAAACAACTCACATTGCGGTACCTTAGTGTTGTTGATGGAACATGGTAAGTAATTTGATGTAATCGAGTAGTAAGTGGTACTGGATCCAAGTCATTCGGTATCTGGTTCTGTGCATCCCGAATATTAATTTCAGAGACTGAAAATATTGTAACAGATGATTCTTCAGTTAAAATAGACACAGCATCGTCAGCACAGCTAACATCATTTCCTCATGCCACTTTTTGATCCAGCAGTCTTTTTTACAGCACCACCTACTCCATCGGTAGCACCCTTGCCGTGCGCAGCTTCGAAAAACGTCCAGGTTCCAAAAGTTAATTTATACTTTTTGCATAACTCTGTAAACTGGTAAATTTTTTTTTGTTTATATTGCGTACTTGGACCGTCTGAGAAAAAATGTATGGTATCTATGTCGGGATTGCTTGTTAATAATAATTCAATTGTAGGTTCTATGTGGGCTCTGATGGCTCCAGGGTCATGTAAGTTACAGTCGGACAGAGAAGCAAAAGGAACCTTTTTTTTGTTGTAAATATGCCATGCCAGTGTGGATCGTAATTTGGCCCTTTGATGCTCCGAAATGAAGAGCCTGTATCTCTTCTCCTAATTTACAGAAATAATTTTCTGAGAAATCTATTATTAGAGCTGCTTCATTGGGTAGTAGGTTATCAATAACTTCTCGATATTTTTTGTGCTGATGATTTATATTAAAGAAATGCTGCCGGAATGCACGTAGATCAGCTAAAAACATTTCTTTGAGTTCTGAAAATGTACCCTTAATACTTTCTTTAACATATTTCTTTGTAGTAGTAATTTTTCTTCCTATTCCCTTCTCAAACGTAAATTCCTTTCTAATCCACTGTATCCATGTGCATTCTGTATTGTTTGTAATATCTGTCAAATTCATTTCAGGATTGTTGTCTTCACACTTTTCACAATTTAAATACATACAGTCGTACGATTCAATGCTGCACACACTCGATGCAAGTAATTCTTGCAAATCGGAAGTACCTATAACGCCAATTTTCTTTAAATGAGCAATTTGAATGCTAAATTACTGTGCTTTATACATGCAACGGTGTTTCTATCACTCAACTTTGGCCGTACCACATTTCTTGGCCTATTTCTTCTGAAAGTTGAAAATGAGGCTTTTCCTCCCTCGCTTACATATTTTGTGTAAAGTTTCTTCAATGAAGTAAGCAAGAATCGCTTCTGTAATTTATCATTACCTCTACAAACACATTCTTTCTTGCCAGCTGTCATTCTAGTGTTATCATCCCTGTTGAAAAAAATACGTATTTCTTTAACTTCTTTGTATGTCCTTTCCTTTTTCTTAAATTTTCTTACTCTCCCTTTCAGTCCCAATGATTTCGAAATATCAGTTTTCAGATTATATTTTTCTATTGCTTCGGATGAAACAATGTCTTTTAGGATCTGTTTTGATTTATTGTCATGTTTTTCATATGCTGTCTGTAACGAAGCACTGATCACATTCAGCTGCAGGATCTGTTTTTTAACTTTATTTTTTTCAGGAGTGGATATGGATGGAATATTTTCATTTATAAAGGATAATGTTTTAGACATGGGAGTTTTTTCACGTAAATCTTCATTTTCAGATTTGTCAGTTGTGGTCAGTCCGGATGAGGTAGTTGGTGCATTAATGTCTGTAGGTACAGATTCACTGTTGGTTTTATTCTCTGATGAGTTTATTAAAGATTTGTTTTCCGTTCGTTCTGAATTTGAGATCAATTTGCGCAGCTCTTCAATTTTAATTTTAGGTCTATATAGGTTTTTTTGTAAAGCATGTTTCTTCAGCAATATATTATCTATAACTTTCTTTTGATCTGTTAATCGCTTCTTCAATTTTTCACATAATCGTGCATTTAATGCACAACATTTGTTGTTCTTTGGTTTTGTTACACCACCTTCTTTTTTTTTTTTTTTTGGCAATTCTCCATTCTCGTCGCTTTTTTTCCTTTTCTTTTTCAGTCAGTTCTGCAATTGGTCTTCTAGCAGCTTTCATATATTCTCTATGCTTCTTCTTTTTCTCCTCGTATTTTTCTGCATTTGGTTTTATTTTTTTCACGGTATTTCCTTTGTCTCTCAGCGTTTGACATTGGCGCCATCTAAAAGTAAGCATGTAAAGTCAATTAGTTTTAATTTATGCACAAATACGTCCAAAAAGTCCAATCCATGAAATATTAAAATAATAATAATAGATTATTCCAGAAATAGATGCCAGTGTATTTCATACATATATATAAATATATAAAAAAAATAAACAACCGACAGAGAGTTTTTCTTGTTTTTATATAAAAATATAAATTCTAAAATTCCTCCTTTTTTTTGAAGTCGGTTAGAAATACGAACAAAACCAAGCGGTTCGGAAGATGAATGAGGTTTTCGTTCGGAGTGAACAATTCGTTATTGATTGCAGGTGCAGTTACTATACAAACTGATTCGTTTTACCAAGTGTTACTCACAAATCTATAAAATCCTGTGAGTAACAATTAGCAATATGAACTAGCCCTAAGTCGTGTTACGTTATCCACAGGAAGGAAAAATATGGATTATAACCTCTAAAATGCATCGTCATACAACAAATATCTTACCTTGAAAACAATGTCTCTGTGTTGTTTGAGCACCAAAACATACTATTTCAGACTGTGTATCCAGACCCGCGTAATTCACTTTAGAATTTATCCCACTCACTAGTTTTTCACAGGAATATTTTAGACAATTTTTTCTGTGCGCGCACTTTTTCAACCAAAACTTAATGAAGTGACAACATGGCGTTCTCAAAAGTCACGAGATGTGAGTAACAGTGTTGCTAGCATAAAATATAATTGCGATATGGTAGAATTTCTTTTCGGGAGCGTTTAAAACACCGTTACTACCTGGAGTTATTCACAGGAATGATATTTGGGATTTTATTATAAACAGTAATTAAATAATTATAGACATAATAAATTAACGATTACATGAATGAAAACAATAATTAAGTCACCGGTTTTTACTTAACAGTATATAATATTGCAAAAAAAGCTGAAAACGGTCGAGGACACATATTTTTTAAAATCATGTACGATTATTTTGACCTCTACCCAAGTGTGATTTACTTCCGTAATTATTATGTTTGATTATTATTGGGTATACATTAGGTAGACAAGTTAAAGACTACACAGACAAAGCCGCCAAACTTACAAGCATTTTGATTTTGATAGTTGATAATAAAATATCTAACATAACGTAAATTATTACAAAATTTGACTTGCGATACCCGTCACCTCTTGATATTTGGTTTTGTATTAAATGATAGTTAAATATAAATCATACTTACATCAAAATTATATTCACAGAAGTATAGTTTAGATTTTGTAGACAATGCCTTCGGGTTTCTTCTTGCCAGTTTTAACCAAGTATTTCTCATATTTAAATCAGTTGGCACTTTAATCCATAACTTTCCCGGTGTTCTTATGCTCGTATTTTTGCATTCAGACACAACACAATAATGATAGAGATGATAACTCATTATTAAACATTAAAAAGAGTATATTATTCCTTTGTAAAATCGGCAGAACGAAGATTGTTACGTCACGAGTTGTACAACATGGCGGCTAGCGTTTTCACGCGAAAATTTAAAACGATAGATTAAAAGTAATTTTTATGGCACTATTCGGTTTAACAAAATATAAAAATTATAGTGGTTCATTCATTTAAAACAATTTTTGAAAATGGGTAAAATACCCTATTGTGATTACACTACTATTTTGATTGCGCAAAAGTTGGTTTTACTCTTTCGTTAATACCATAATACTTTATAATTTCAGACAGCGATGACGATGTCTCTAAAGATTTACAACCCTGTTCTCCGTATCATAAATGCTTTGGTAAGATTAACCACACATTAAAAATTTTCGTTCTGACATTTTGCAAAGACACTTATTTATATATATTTAAATTATTACAGCAACTAAAACACCGCCTTGCGTTCTTCGGAAAACCGCCATGGAAGCTGAGAAAAACTACAAAGATATTATCGAACTAACAGAACGGGAGAAGATTTACACTCCTAATGTAGTAAGTATTTGCTAACATGCTGAATTCAGTTATCCATCATTAAACAAAATGATTGATTACTCTAGTTTAATTTCCACATCAGTTCATAACTGTATAGTGGTGGTGTTTAAAAATCTACTATCCCATATAGTCTCGTAGATGTTGTAAATGGCGTCGTCTAAATGTGTATGTCTTATTCACGCCCTACAAAAGGCTGTTAAGCACTCGAGCAAATGTTTATCAAAGATATATTCGATTCGATGTATTAAAGACGATTTCAAGAAGAAGAAGAAGTGTCCTGCTAAGTTCAAATTGTATTTTTTATAATTGAAATTTATTTTGGCCAGTAACTTTACGAAAACATGGCAAATGCTCAGCTAGGATTTCACTCATAAATACTCTGTGACCAGGCCATAATTTTACTTCAAAAAAAAATGGAATTAAAATTGAATGTTAAATAATTATGTTTGGTTATATGGTTACGTGGTTAATAATGGGGTGATCATTGTTGACCCCAAAGATATCGCAGAGTTATTTAACAATATTTGCATAAGTGGAAATAACAGTAATCTAAAAACAATTAACATTAACTCCAAAGTACTAAATACTTATAACTCATTATTTATGAACCCAAAGACTCCTTTTGAAATTAATATTATAATTAATTCATTAAAGAATACAAATAGCACGGGCTACGATGACGTTAACAAACAAAAGTATTAAAAAGTGTAACAATCATCATTTCACCCGTTTTATCCTACATCGTAAATTTAAGTATAGCCTCTGGAAAATTTCCAAATAAATGAAAAAAAAAAAACGGTGGTTAAACCGGTATTTAAGGAAAATGATAAGGGTCCCTACACATACCGATATTCTCTAAAATTGTTGACAAGGTGTTAAGTCAAAACCTTAATGATTTCTGCGAAAAACATAAAATCTTCACGGCTATACTACTCGTACTGGAATTTCAAGCCTTAATAGTAAGTACTTAGTATCTGCTCTATGTATGGATTTAACTAAAACTTATGACTTTGTTAATCACACTATCCTCACTATCCATTAGAAGCGTACGGAGTCAGAGGAAATGTCCTCAATCTCCTAAAATCATACCTAATGAATTGACAACGATTTACACAAATTTCTCGCATATACCCAAAAACGTATAGACAAATACTACATTTATCGTCATATCGTGAAGTAATTCAAGGAGACCCAGAGAGAAGTATTTTTGGTCCATTATTATTCGTTGTTTATAATATAAACGATTTTCCAAATAATATAAACCAAGATATGGTACTATATGCAAACGTTTGCACAGTAATGTTAACAATTACAGGTAAAAACATAAATGATATCTGACTTAAATCGAACACTGGGCATAATAATTCAATGGGTATCCATAATAATTTATTAATTAACGTTTTGAGCGGAAAAAGTAGTGCAGTGCAACATGAACGATTCCTCAGAACTCATTCGCATTTTGGAAAGCGTCGAAGATGATGATTTTTTTTTATTTTAATAATATAAAATTACAAATGATTCTTTATTTTTTTCTTAAGGTATGAAGAGCAATTTTTCATTTTGTGCTGTGCGATTTCCTTTCTCAATCTCAAAATCATAGCATCAGCATCATATCAAAACCCTATTGTCATAAGAGCGTAAGTCTTTTCTTCTGTGCTTCACTTGGCCTACGCCTCCCCCGACACATAAAATATTTTGAGTCCATCTCTGTATATTTTGGTTAGATCGATTTCGAAATCGATACACAACGTGCGACACGGCTACATCTCTAAGAAAGTTTCAAAAAGGAAGGTCAGCTACGCCGTTGTCGTCCAGTCGTGACAGTGACGTCATCACGATGAAGAGTAGTGCTTGTTGTTTACTACTATTTTATTATTATTGTTTGTTTTTTATTTATGTACAAAGTACATATATAAAAAGAGTGGAAGACAGCACAAGATTAAATAAAACATACCAGATTATAAAGAGTCGAATTTATAACTATTTACTATTACACATATTGAGATGCTCCAACATAGATCAGTTTAAAACACTATTGAAGCAATTTCTAGTTAATAGGGCACACTACAGTATGAAAACAAATATGAAATGCAATAATTGGCTGGGTACATGACTCAGAATAACTTAATTGACTTACGTATATAATATAACCTAAATTGATTAATCTGTATTGTTTTTGATTATGTATCATGTGAACTCCAATTATAACTAGAGCATGTTTAAGTAATTTATAATAAAAGTAGTAAAATAACCGAGGTTAGGTAGCAGCAGCCTTTGTATTTGCACATGTACATTTGCGACTCTTAGTATTAATCGCAGAGCTGCACGCCGCAGCTATATTATGGTTGTAGCACGAATGGGTCGGCTCGACCGGGGTAGGGCCACGCTCTCACATAATGCCAGCTTAGAATGGCGGCGTATGCATCCTTTGTGATGACACATTTTATTTGATTATTGACTGAAGATACATAAATGTGGAGGTCTTTGGATGTGGATATCAAGTGTACTGTGTGCTCATTTGTCACCCAATGTTATAAAAAAATGCCATTAATAAAATTTTGCCAGGAGAACTGGTAGGTAACATCAAGTATTATAAATGGAAAAGTACAATGCGATCCATTTATAATACATTTGGTGGTAAGGCAATGGCACATTTCTAATGTAAAATTATAGTTAACTTTATATACCGACATGAATTGTGAGCTTTTCCATCTGCTGATTGATAAAACACGTATATTTTATACCTGCTTTTAAATCTTAATATGTTGTTCTTCAAGGTTGAACTTATAGAAAAATTGGAACAGAAAACCTCCGTAATTGCTAAACTAGAGGAAGAAGTTGGTGCCCTAAAACATATTAATACTGTGAATAAATCAGAAATGGAAACATTGAAGGATAAAATTAGTAAAGCCGAAGAAGAGGTTAGAAGTATTACTTCTGCTAAGGTAGTATAGTTTATTTGCGTAAATAGGATGCTATTCAATTATTTACTCACATAGATTCATGTTATTCAGACATAGTTGTTGGTCCATAAAGAACAATGGCCAAATTGGACACTTCTAAAGTCTAAATCGAATTTGTTTTTAAATCGAAATTTAATTGTAGACAATGGCAACTGCATAAAATTGTGTTAACCATTGGACTAAGAAAAAACTTTTATTTCAAAATGCTACGGATTAATAATATACCACACAACCTCAAAAACGTATTGCATAGTTGCTAGATTCTCCATACTTTAAAACATACACTGAATTGTGTACTTTTTAAACTTAAATAGACAAATGAAACAACTTAAGTTTCATCAAATTACGTTATATTAGATATTACTAGTTCAAACTTTACATAACATTACATCTGTTAAGTGATTGGCCATTGTTTTTATAAATTACATTATATATACATTGACAAGCCAAGCAGTTGTTCTTTGTGTACCACCAGACTGGCTTGTCGTCTCACAAAATTGCGGTTTTGCTATAATCCACCATTAAGCTTTACCGGCACACTACCAAGAATCCGATAAAGCTTGCCCATTGATCCAAGGAGTTGTCCCTGTTCAAATTGATTTTTAAATGTATCAAAAATGAATTTGACTTGTCTTTGCTAAAGGTCTTTATAAATAAATGAAACTTATTTCTTTTAAGTTTAAGCACAACACAAACACAAACTTAGAATTTATGATTCAAAAGGAACAAAAAATTACAATTTATTACCTATCAAAGAAGAAAATAACTATTTACAAAATCTCTACTACGACCAAAAACCACGAAAGTGTGATGATATAGATGAAAGTAGCACTGGTTTAGTCCTGTCTGTAACTTGAACGTCTGTGCGCGCAAATCCGATAATTTTCAAAACTCTTCATTATTATTATGGCAGCAAATATATGTTTAATGTAAAACTTCTTGATTAAATAAAGGATTACATATATTCGAATTTTTATTAAAAATAATTGTTTATTTTTGTAGCAGCTCGAATTAGAAGCTCTATGTAAAGACTATTGTACGAAACTCACTGACTGGGAAGTCACCTATGATACACTCAAAAAGAAGGCTAAGACCAGAGAGGAGGAACTACTTTCACGCTTGGAAGAATTTGCCAATAGGAAAAATACAGTCAATAAGGGTAAGTAAAAAAATTATTCTATATTACTAAAGCATCTCAACAAAGTCAACCTATTTAAGGAACTCTCTAGTGACTTAAAAATTAATAGCAATATCAAAAATATATTCATGTAAATTAGTTTACAATATTTTAATAAAAATTATTTGTTGCTTATAATCTACATACAGTCATACCCGCGGTAATTCGGTCCCCTATCTAATCTGGGGGCCTCTGTAATCCGACATGTCTATTATGTACGACAAATCATCGTCAATGCATGATTGGATAGATTACAACTTGTTACGCGACTGCGTTTTTTATGTGGTGCTAATATGGTGCGACTTACCAAGTAGCGTCGATGTAAGAATATCCACTACCCCATTGCATCCCGTGGGTGTCTTAACAGGCGACAGAGGGAGGCATATCAGAAGATTGGCAGCACCGTCTTCCTAATAACGAATAAAAATAAACTGCGGTTGTCAACCCGCTTGCCAAGCGTTACAACTACCAAGGACACGCTATGCCCCCTATGAGGCAATCCATGGGGAAGGCCTATGTTCAGCAACGAATTTTAATAGGCTGTAACTTAAGGCGTTACCCCTAGTGAACGATCTTGAGCGTTCGGTCCTATACAATCCACGCGCTTTCGCTGTTAAGGATTATGGGGATAATTAAAGATATAATACTTTGAACATAAAACGTGCTTTTTATTAACCTCAAAACAACAACATGGAGAGCCTATAACGTCATATTGAATCTTCCTTCATAACCACAGACACAGTGTTGACAACCGACGCAGTGTTGCCATTAAAATACAATATTATATAAATCATTGTTAATTAACACCTCCCCCCAATGATTTATATTAACAGAACTAACATTACAATAATTTCAAACATTACAATGAATAAGTAAGAACTAACAATACAATGATTTGTATTAACAAAACTAACAAACTAAAAATACACAATGCGAACTAAACTCTACTCCAATCCTAATTTATGTACAAAATAATTATGAGAGGTTTTATTTAATGGGTTCGTAAAAATATCAGCTATTTGTTGCTTTGTAGGTATATACATAACACGAATTTCCTTACATTCTATTTTATGTTTAATAAAGTTGTATTTTATGTCCACATGTTTCATTCTTTTTTTGATCAGGATTACATACAGAAAATATTGTACTTTTATTGTCTTCATATATGGTAGTGGTATTACAACTAACGTCTAACTCATTTAATAATTTCCTAATCCAACAAGCCTCCAGAGCAGCTTCATTGAGGGAGTATTACTCTACCTCAGTAGTGCTTAAAGCTACAGTGCTCTGCTTTTTTGCAACGCCAAATAATACTGTTATAAAATACTTTAAATACATAACCAGTTATAAATTTCCTATCTTTATCTACAGCAAAACTAGCATCAGCATATCCAACTAGTGGTTCGGAATTACAATTCTTATTATATTTTAAATCATAATTAATGGTACACTTAATGTATCTTAAAATCCTTTTCAAGCATTGCCATAACCTTTCTCATGGTCTAGATTGATATCTTGCTAAATATGAAACAGCAGCACACAAATCAGGTCTTGAACCTACTACAGCATACATTAAAGAACCTATACAAGCTCTGCATTTATGCTGTAAAGAGTAATCAACCGTACAATCATCAAGATTAACATTCACTTCCATGGGTGATTCACTAGCATTTGCTTCAGACATACCAAACTTTGTCAATATAGATTTTAAATACTCTTTCTGGTTAATATACAAACAGTCACTATCTTGAATAATATTAATACCCAGATATTTTAAATTTTTAGATCCTAGATCTTTCATTTTAAATTCTGTGCTTAAAATTTCTTTAACATTATTTATCCTTGAATTGTCCTCACCTAAAATTAATAAATCATCCACATACAACAAAATATAAATACCATCCTTAAAATATAAACAATAATCACTTTCTGCTCTTTGAAACCCTTTACCTTTCATAAAATCATAAAATTTATTGTACCAGTTTTTTGAAGATTTTTAAGACCATAAAGTGATTTTTTCAATTTCAAGACATAATTTGTATTTATATTTACACCAGGTTGGGGCTTTAAGTATACAACATCATCAATTTCACCATGAAGGAAAGCACCTTTAACATCCATTTGATGAATTAAATAGTTCCTTTGAACAGCTAATGATAAAAGAACTCTGAGAGTTTGTAATTTCAAAACGGGAGAATAAATTTCGGTGAAACTACCTTCCTGTTGAAACCCCCTTGCAACTAATCTAGCTTTATATACATTACCCGCCTTTTTTTGTAAAAATACATCTACAATCAATTAACTTAGCATCGTTTGGTCTTTCTACAACTTCCCAAGTCTTGTTATCTTTTCTTTACCTTCCGCTTCTCTATTTACCGCTTCATACCACCTATCTTTATCGTCATAAGAATCTATATCATTATATTTTTCTGGGACATTACCATTAGAACAAGATAAAAATGATGCCATTAATATATCACCTAAATCTGAATCATCAGTGACAAAATCTTGTAAATATTTTGGTTTAGTTTTCTTTCTTTTCTCCCTAGAATTAACATTATCTGTATCCCTTCCCTCAGGTTGTAATGACTCTAAATTATTATCAGAAGTATATTTTCACAGTACCATGCGTTTGGGTTTTATCAGAAATTAAAAGGGTTTTGGTTTTCTCAGGAATACTACCAGCATCCTTCTCCTTCCCATCCGAGATAGACTCCACGTCAATACTAATCGTTTCAGGGGACTTTGAACATGTTTCTTCCCTAAACAATACGTTTCGTTCTATGCGTATCCTCCTTTCATTAGCATCCCATAATCTGTATCCCCCCAGAGCATACCCAACCATTTTCAATTTCACACCACGAGGGTCCAACTTCATTCGGAGTTTTTGGGGAATATGGGCATATGCAGATGACCCAAATATTCTAAAATTAGACACATTAGGACGTCTTCCCTCCCACATTTCAAATGGTGTAACATTAAGGGAAGCAGTGGGACTACGATTAGTGACATATACCGCATATCGCAGGGCCTCGCCCCAAAGCTCTTTAGGAAGCTGTGAATCTAACAATAATGCACGCGCCTTTTCAGTCAGAGTACGATTCATTCTTTCAGCTACTCCGTTCATTTCGGGATTATATGCAGCAGTATACTGCCTTTTTCATCACAAAAGGATTTAAAATTTCTAGAATTAGACTCACCACCATTATCTGATTTTAACTTCAATATACCATGACCAAAATGATTACTAGCATAATTATAATAAGTCTTAAAATATTCAAAAACCTCAGACTTGTCTCTTAATAAGTAAACTGCGGTGAAGTGGGTAAAATCGTCTATGAAAGTAACAAAGTGTTTATACCCGTCCCACGTAAAAGGGCTAACAGAACAAACATCGGTATGTACTAGTTCTAAGGGTTTCCTAGCTTTATACATTTTCCCATTAAAAGAAAGGCGTGTAATCTTAGCAAGTATGCATGGTTCACAATGCCTATTTTCTAATTTTTTTCTTTCAAATCAATTAAACCATCAACCATATTTTTATTTACTAAAGTTTTCAAACTACTATAGCTTAAGTGAAAAAATCGTTTGTGCCAAATTTCTACTGAATTATCATTGTTGTCTGATTTTGCACCATAATAACAATCATTAAATATTACTTTAAATTCTACAAAATAAAGGGACCCTAGTCTATGCCCAACCATAAGCAATTCATTGGTTTGTGAGAAAACTTTAACTTCCCCTTTATTGAAGATGATCTTTAAACCATGCTTTTCCATTTTGGAAACAGATGATAAATTTTTTCTTAATTGTGGTACATAATACACATCATTTAATATAAAATCAACTTTAAAATCACTTAAATAACATTTTATTGTTCCTACACCAACAGACTCTAAATCAACGCCATTTTTGGCAGCTGAAATTTTAATTGGCTTATCCAGTTTACAATAATTAAAGAATAAACTAATGTCATTTACAAGATGAAATGAAACTATCTGAGTCAACAACCTATTTAAAACTATTTTTATTCTTCTGTTCGGTGTCAGGGCTAAAGGACATAAAACTTACAAATTTGTTACCTTCAGTATTTTCAGTGCCTGTAAGAAATGACTTTCCTCTACCTCTCCCCCTGGGTCTGATGACGAGTTGCCTTACTGTCGTCTCGGCCTCCGTTGTACTTCCAGTCGCTACGTCCACGGCCGTGAAGTCTCCAGTCGCCAGTCTTGTGTCGTGCCTGCTGAGTGCTCCTACACTGGATTTTTTGTGTCCGGGGCGTCCACATCCATAAGACAAGAAGATTGAAGAGTCAAGGGATTTGGTCGCTCCTCTGTTCCGTTTTTCCTCTTCCCCAAGCAGTCTGTTTTTCACGAAGTCCTTTTTCAATTCCTCCACAGTTTCCAAAGCCGTGATAATGCCTTCATAAGATTTCGGCATGGATAGGAGTAAATAGTTAACCTTTTCTTCCTCCGAGAGCTCACTGCCAGCATCCCTAAGTTGTGCAAATAGCTTTTCCATGTCAATAAAATGTTCCATTAAACGTTTCCGTTCGTCGAATTTCATATCGGACAACTCTCTTCTTATAAATAATTTAGATCGTGTACCTTTCTTCTTAAAGCTGTCTTCCATGCTTTTAATCATTGGATAAGCAGATCTGTCCTTTAAGTATTCGAGGTGACTGTCGGCGGTTGCTGCTATTATGATAGCCTGGGCCTTAGCTTCCAATTGCAATTGCTTGTTATCCGTAGATTTACTGAAATCCTCCTTTTCGATCGCCTCTATTGCTCCATTATCCTGCAGGATACTTTTTAATCGGAACTCCCACGCGTTGTAATTGTCCCCAGCGAAAGGGACAATTTGATATTTTTGTTTTGACATTTTCTGTCCTTTAACACTTATTAATCCACTATAAAACTGATGCCCGTACTGGGCCCGTAACCCTGTTAAGGATTATGGGGATAATTAAAGATATAATACTTTGAACATAAAACGTGCTTTTTATTAACCTCAAAACAACAACATGGAGAGCCTATAACGTCATATTGAATCTTCCTTCATAACCACAGACACAGTGTTGACAACCGACGCAGTGTTGCCATTAAAATACAATATTATATAAATCATTGTTAATTAACATTCGCTACAATATATCGCGTAGTAAATACGCCCAAATTTTGGAATTATCTTAATTAAAAAAGAAAAGCGAACTTAAGAATTTTTATTTATTATTCAATAAAACGTGAATAATATAGATTTTTAAATTATCTATCCATTAGTGTAATCCTCAAATGATTAGAGGGGTTGGCTATAGACATCCGTTACTTGATTTTTATAATGTTTTTAGTCTAGGAGGCTTGTTAGGGTTAAGCTTGAACCTATTACACTATTTTTAGATGGCGGAAATGCGTTTTGAATTAATTACGATAAAAACAAATTTCACTAAAAATTGTGTAATAACGAAACGCAAATATGTCAATTTGTTCTCGTATTATAAAGTAGATGTCTGGTACTTGATTTTTAATTTTGTTTTCAATTTATGAGGATTGTCAGGGTTAAGCTTGAACCATTTACACTGTTTTTGGATTTCAGAAATGCCTTTTGAATTAATTACGATAAAAATAAATTTCACTAAAAATTGCAATAACGAAACGCAAATATGGCAATTTGTTTTTTTTACGCAGATAACTCATAAAAAAGTTATTCACTCGGACCCAGACAATCCATTTGTGGCTGGAGACTGGACTTATATACAACAAATTGAGTCGCAGTGGAGAGCAGTGAAGGGGTTTTTCAGAAAACAAAATTATAACAATTCACATTACATTATTTCATTTACCACTATCATAGCAGAGTTTAGGGCAACCAGACTTTATAGATAAGATTCGTCGAATCGGTTCTAAAACCGAATTAGCACACCCCAACTCCACGTAGTCTTGTCTACCCTACCCCTAGAGTGTTTTTGTAAAGCCGTAGGCACGGAGGGAGAGCAGCCCCCGCCCGCTGTAGCAGGTGTGGTGCCGTGTGGATTTTCTACGCAAAGGCGAAGGGGCTGCACTTCCCGCAGTGCCGAAGCCGTTGCAAAAGTAACTTTGCGTCAATATTCCTGTATAAAAAAGTGAGGTTATGATTTACAAAAAAAATTATTGTTCATAATTTATACATTTACGCAATGGCCGAAGGGTAGGGGTGGTTCCCACCCCCCTTCTACCCTCTCCTCCCTCCCAACTCCGTACGGCCGTTGCAGTTTTATATGTTTCGTTAATGAGATAATAGTCTCTGAAAAACGCACTATCGCAAGATTTTGGTCGGAGTATCGCCTTAACGGCTAATATGCCGCGCGTTTATATGGGTATGCAACAGGGTTGCACGGTTTGATTGTACTAATAATTTTATCAAAGATAATAATGTTCACGTGTGATATTATGCGTAAAGCTTACAGCTTGTACAATAATAATGTTGATTTATTTAAATTTTGTTATTGTTGATTGTATCAAAGAGCATTTTTTTGTTTCGAAATAAAATAATTATTAGTATTAAAATACTTTATCATATTGTGTGTAATATAACTAACCAGATAACTATCGGATAATTATCTATGAACATTATTATACGGATAATTTGCAATCCTGGTATGCAATGGGCTCAAAGGAGTGGTGAATAATATTACGAACTCTTACTTCTCAGGAGGGTGGGAAGCAAGTTACTCTTTCATTTTGACAAGATACTATAAAAGAAAATAATGAATATTTGGATACAAGCAACATAAATCTATTTGTTTATTTATGTTCTTTTTCTCAAATAAGTAATTGATTTCGTATTAGTACATTTTATTGATTTATATTTACATACTACGTGTAGTTTCCACTTTATTATAACTGCTGTGGTCATCGCATTAAAATGACGTTAATCCTGTGCTATGATCATTATGATTTGTTTAATCAACAAGGGTCATATCGTATATACATATTGGTTTTTTCTCACCATTTAATTGTTTGTAGGATTATAAGGTACTTTCCAAAAATTTTGAACTACACGAGGCTAGAGCCAATATAGTCCGATATATATATATATATATATATATATAATGTTATACGAGATGGCTATAAATGTTTCTATTGGAGGCAATTCGATCTTTCTGACATTTCCCATAGTTGCTTTCTTACGACACACGGAACGATATGGGATGGTGGAATCTCTTACGCCCTCGTTTGCGTTTTTTTAAAAAGTATTCAAATTTTTATTAGGGCAGACATAATGATTTAAGACATAATATGTATATTTGTTTTCATATTTTATATTTCTTGTAGCAAGATACTTCTAATAATTTAATAATATAAAGGCGGCAGTTAAAATAAATCTATAAATCTAGACCCTGTAATCAGTTTAACACCTGGTTGTGCTATCCACAAACATCAGCTATGCCTTGAGTTCAAATATTGATTCAGCAAGCATGCTACTTAGATACATTCCTACAAAACAATGTAAAACACTTAATGAAATTAATATTTTTACACAGGTATAACACCCGAAATTGCACAATACAAAGATGCGTCAAAAGATGTGTCAGCAGTCAGTAGTATTACAAATACATGCAATGATTTTGCATCTCAAAATATTCATGATCTTATAGCAGATCTAAAAGAACAACTAGCAGTAAGAGATAAAACTATTTTAGAATTAGAAGCCAAATTGCATGCACAAAATCAAGAGGTTTCGTCTTTAGAAAATAAAACCCAGGATATTAACACATTATTAGAAACATGTAAACAACAGCTTTGCAATGCTGAAGAGGAAAATATTTTACATAAATCAATGATATCAACACTGAATTCTATTATAGAAGACCAAAAATTAAATTTGGAATCAGCTACGAAAGATATGGAGTGTTATAATAATACAATTCAAGAATTACAGGAGCAGCTCACAAGAAAAGAAAACCTACTGAAATTTACCGTCAACGATACCGAAATAGAGAATTTAATTATTAATGAAGAAAAAATTATCGCTAACAATGAAAATGTAAAGAACATTATTCAGTCTCTGAAGGTTGCTCTTGCTACCAAAAGTGACGAGATTAAAAAACTAAAATCATCCGTACAGAACAACGAAACAAATGATAACAATAGTCCAATCGTAATTGACCTCAAAAATAAAGAAATACAAATTACTGAATTGCTACAGAAAGTCGAAACATTGACGCAGCAATTACAAGAAAGTAATTTACAAATAGAAAATTTATTATTTGAGAAAAACAATTTAATAACTTGTCAACAGCAACTTCGCGATAAATTATCTGAGTCTGAAAAAAATAAATTTGAGTTAGATGAGCAAATAAAGATTTTCATAAATGAGTTGGCTAATTTAAAAGCACGTAACCAAGAATTGACTAATAACTTAAACGAGAAAAAGATAATAGAAACAGAATTAATGGCCAAGAATTCAGAATTGTTAAGTCAAATTGAAGATCATGTTAAAAAAATAAACAGCTTAGAAAAGGAGATACAAAAATTACAAGAAAATTATTCAGAAATGGATCATTTGTTATTAGAAAATAGCAGCTTACAAGCTTTCCAACAACAACTTAATACTGAATTATCTGAATGTCAAAAACATAAAATTGAGTTAGAGAGTCAAATAAAGGTTTTTATAAATGAGTTAGCTAGTTTAAAAGAACGCAACCAAGAATTAACTAGAAACTTAAATGAGACAAAATGTGTAGAAATAGAATTAACTGCAAAGAATTCAGAATTGTTTAAGCAGGTTATAGATTATGTTAAAAAAATTGATAGCTTAGAAAAGGATATTATACTAAAAGATGCTGAAATCAAATCAAATAAGGAAAACAATAAAGAGGATGAGTGTAATATGTATAAACTAATAGAAGTTATATGCAAAATACAAGATATTACTTCGTTAATAACAAGTAAAAATATGGAATATCCAGACATCAGCTCTCGAGAAGTATTTAAAACACTAGATGATAAAATAAATGAACTAGACAATATTGTAACTGAGTTTGTCGATGAAAGAGACACGCTTAAAAGGCTGAACATTGATTTAAAAAGTACTGTAAAAGAACTGCGAGAACTATTTGCCAATGAAATTACAACAATTAGCACCGAAGTAGACAAACTGTTTAATGTTATTAACGATTGTTCATCATATATAAATAGTTCTGAATTAAATCCTATACATGATAAATTAAACAAAATTATTTGTTTTGATGATGTTCAGAATGATGGTCATATAGAAGATACTGAAGAAATAGATACAAAATCTTCGGTTAACGAAATCAAACTTTTATGTGTCAATTTATTAGAAAAAATTGAAAATATAAAATCCACATCTATTTGTAATTTTAATAGTCTTAGCGAAACAATAAAAACAAAGGAATCTGAAATTGCGGGACTTGGTAACAAATTAAATAGCTTAGGCGTAGAATTGGAAGATAAATCCCAACAATGTATATCTTTATCTGAAGAAAAAGATATAATTCTAAAAGCAAAAGATGAAATTCTTAGTAACATTCTTCTGAAAGTTACAACCTTGGCACATGAGTTAAATATCTTAGATAACCTATCTGAGTTTGATAAACACATTAATACAAATAATAAAATCCTTATAATTTTAGACCAGATAACTAGTCACTATCTGTCCAGAAACTCGGAAAATTTAGAAAAACAAACTTTTGAAGAACTACATTTATTCGAAGCTAAAAAAGAAATATATCATTTATCTGAACAAAATTTAGAATTAATCGATAACTTGTCGAATATAGAAAAAAGGAACAGTGAATTATCTGATATAAGGGAATTGCGGGAAATGCGACAAGGTAACAAAGATTTGGTTGAAGACTTAAAAAATAACGTTGAGTTACTTAATGCTTTGAAAACGGAGTTGAAGGTTAAAACCAATGAATTATGTTGTATGGAAAGCAAAGTTCTTGAGTGGAAAAAGAAATTTACCGATCTCGAAATTTTCATGAAAGAAAGGCAACTTGAAATGAATATGGAAAATACAAGACTAAAAGAAAAATGTTTGCAGTATGAAACTGGACAAACAGAAGTTGGATGTAGAACAACAACGAACGTAAGTTATGGTACACAAAGTTGCGATACCAAAAATATATTAAAACCAGCAGAACACGTTGTGAATTCAATTAAACCCAACACGCAGTTAAATAAACAATATGCGGTGAATTCCCCTCCGAGTCTTTTAACCATTTCCTGTAATAAAATAATTGAAATAATACAATGCAATGAAAATTATTCCAAATCACCAACACCATCTTGTTCAAAATCGACTATAGATCAGGATATTTCAGAGAATTTATTTAGTTATTGCGAATGTAAAAAATTAAAGGCTGAGTTGGAGTTTGTGCACAACAAAAACGCCGAACTAACTAACCTTTTGCAGGAATTACAATTTACAAATGAAAACTTAATTAAAGAAATTGAAGAAGCCTCTGGAGGAATAAAAACTCTTTTAGATTTTACAAGTGAATTGCAAAAGAGAATACTTAATCACAGAACTAATCTTTCTACTTTAACAGCCACCACTTACGCTGAAAATAAATCCCTTAGTTCGCAAGTAAAATTCCTACAACATCACCATACCCGATTCCATACGGTATGCCAAAGAGATTTACCCGAATTGAAAAAACAATTGCATGAACTTATGCGGTTACTTAAAGAAGAAGGTTTGGAAAGACGATTGAATGTTAGCTTTAAGAGATACTCCTTGCCTAACCCCCTAGATAGTAATTCTATTTTGTACACTTTTAAAAATGAATCTACATTGGATGGAGATCTCTTAATGCTGGATACAAATGCTACGTTAGCAACATCCGCAGATAACACTCTCACAGGTCATGACCAAACTTGTTTTGAAGTAACACAGACAGAGTGTTTATTTAATGACGTAGCTTGTCAAACTACTAATTATTACCAGATAAGTGAATGTGACAATTCGAAAATGCTTAAAATTTCAAAGGAAGAAAATCAAAAACTCGACCAACTATTCGTAGAGTCATCACGAATAATAGAAACAGATGCTGCTAGAATAAATGTTGGAATTAGTCCAATTAAAGAAATTTCGAATAAAAACGGCAACGACTGTAACTTTTGTATAAATTGTGAACACGAAAAAAGACAACGAGAACTGTTATGCCAAGAACACGAAGAAATTACGAAAAAATTAGTAGACTTGACTATTCAAAAAGAGGATATTGAGAAAAAATACAACAATCTATCCCTAGAGACTCCATCGACTGAAGCCTTAGTACGAAAATTACACAATTTTGAAAAAGAACTTGAAAACAAAAGCAAAGAAATAGAAAAACTCTCGACAACTTTGAGGTCCACAAAAGCGTTGCTCAAAAATGTGCAAGAAGAAAACGATAGTTTATCAACTCAAATTATGGAATCTATTTCTGAAGTTGATGATCTGAAAAAAGAACTTGATACGGTTAAAAAACTTAATTCACAAAATACCCAAGAACTAAACTTACCACTAGTGGAATATGCAGAAAGTGTAAGAGAAGATGTAGATTTGTTAAATTGTACTGAATGTGTTCGAAAAGATGAACATATTAAAGCACATGCAAGTAAGTATTCAAATACACATACACATTTGAACACAAGTTATAGTGATTCAGACAACTCCTCACGATATAATAAAATATGTACATTAAAAAACGAGATTGACGCAGGTAGAGAAGACTGTAACGAGTTAAAAGAGGAAGTAACCACAATTAAAAACCAATTGGAACGTAGCAATTTGGCAATCAGCGAAACCATGGATTTAGATGAAAGCATTAGTGAAACGAATGTAATTGTTTCCCAAACGAATAACTGTAGTATGTCTGAAATTTCTGAAGAACACGCTTCTGATTTATATACTCTAGACAGACAAGATTGCTTAAACTTTTATATAGAAAACATTGGTGATGAAAAAATAAATCTTACTTGCGACGTTCAAATCATTGATGTTATGAAAATGCTGTATTCTAAGTTGATGAGAAGGCACGAAAATCAAATTGAAAACCTGGTAAATAAATTACAAGATTACGAAGATTCTAAACGTGAATTGCACGAAAAGGTGAATAATTTAACCAAAGATTTAGCAGAAAGTAATAACAACGTTCAAGTATTTGAAAACAAATTATCGATTTTAAGAAATAATTTTAAAATCTTCAGCAACGATGCATTTGTTTTAAATAAAGGAGACGTCAATGCAATTGAATTGTTCAAGGAGAAGATTTTAATGGTACTTGACACTGAATTTTCAGTGAATACTCGTACTTTATTTGATTCCATTTTAGAAACAACATTCAATAAAAACTTAAACAGTTTAAATGAAACAATTAATAAGTATGTGATACTACAAGAGCATTCACAAAACTTATCAGATCAACTAGAAACGGCAAATAATCAATTGGTTCAATTAAAATCCCAACTTACTGATAAAGTTAAAGAATATGACTTGCTTCTAGCCCAAAAAGTAAAGATTCATGAAATAAGTGACGCTGTGACAAGGGATATAATCGAAAAAGAAAAAGAATTTTCTGTAGCTATTACTGAAGGTTATCGGAAACTTGTGGAAGAAAATATTCTAAAAGCTGTTGATATCGATACAACACTCTCGCCTATTAAAAACTTACGTCTGTTGTTCAACCGACTAATTAATCAAAATAATGTAGAAAACGTGTTAGAAAAGGAAAAACAAGTAGACAATCTTAAACAAGAAATCAAAAATTATCAAGCTGTTGTAGCAGAGAAGAATAAAGAGCATCAGACATTGACGGAACAATTTGAAAATATAAAAGAACTGAATAAAAATATTACTGAGCAACTACAAGAAAAGGAAGAAATTATACAGACACAAAAGTCCTTGTATGAAGATTTAAAAATTATTTACAACAAAAAATTTGAGGAAAACAATGTAAACCTTTTATTAAGTCAAAACTTGTCTGAAGAAGTCCGTGTTTTGAAAAATTGTGTTTTTGATAAGGAAAACTTAATACAAAATCTTCAAGACGAATTAAACAAGCATAAACTAACAAATACTGAGAATGAAAATAAATTTTCGGAATTATTATTTGATATTGCAAGATTCAATGAAGAAGTTGGTAACTTAAAACATATAAATGAGTCTTTAACAAAAGAAAAAGAAGCAATGGCTGTTGAATTAGAAAAATCGAGAACCATGATTGATCAAAGCAAATTAGATCTTGAAAAAATGGAATCAGACATATTAGTTCTTAATGAATCAATTAAAGAAAATGGTATAATAATAGAAAATCTGAAAATTGAAGCCAAATCATTACTTAAACAAAATATGCATTTGAAAGAGCAACTGGATGAAAAATGTAAAGACTTATCGCGGCTAGAAAACAACATCAAAACACACGAAACAACTGCCAAAATACAAACAAAAATGATTTCAAGGTAAGTTTTTATTGATTCTGAGACCATCTAAAAAAAATTATCTGCTTAATATAGAAATGGTTTAACTTTACTGCCTACTCTACTCTCATCAATGGATGCTTGATATCTCGATGGCTTTGATATCTTTTCTATAAGGAAATTCTTCTTATTCTAAAAATCTGCGCTACCGTCGCTATAAGCTTCTTATTTGATTAAAAAAAACATATTTCTAGAATTTTTTGCCTTATAAGTTTGGAAATAGAAAAGTCTGATTATATCAGACCTAGCCATAGCAAACAACAACAGTGTGCGCCGGAGCATTATCTTGATGAAAAAGTGATTTTTGTTTAGACATTCCTGGTCCTATTCACAATATTATTCAGACTCTGAGACTCAGACTTGCGAAATATAGTTCTTTGTGAAAGTGGTCAATAACTTTTAAAACTTAGTATCGTTACACACGGCTGTCGTCAGGGTCATTTTGACCTTTTTTTTGTCACAGGAACATAGTGAGTGCAGGTTACATCAATGATAAATCGCCTCAAAAACTCAGTGATATATCACTTAAAAAGTCCTATGAAATTTTTGATTCAACTGGTTTACCACCCTTGTATTAATATGAAATAAGAAATGTGTGGTTCACTAATAGATGAAGCTAGCATGGCAGTTTAAAGTTATTTCCATAATTTATGGGTTAGGCCGATAACTTTTCAAACAGATTTTGTATATTGATTTTATTATTAGTTTATTTGTTTCTTAATGTCTAATGTTTTAGGCTTCAAAAGCAGAAAGATGATGATAACAAGATAATGAATGAAAAAGACCAGAAAATAGAAGAATTACTTCAGAAATGTAATGCTCTACAAGACGAATCATCTGGATTGAAAGAAAGTATGGCAACACTAAAGGATGAAATAGACTCATTAAAGAATGTGAAACTGTCTCTTGAGGTACATACATGATTAATATTCTTTCGGCGTTTAATCTGTGCCAATATTTTTTATGAATGTTAACAATGTGTAACTACCTACTATTTGATAAGTAAAAAGATAAAGTAATGGCTTATATTAAATATGTGAAATAAGGGTTCAGCATTTTTGGATGAAATTTGTGCCCTCAGTACGTAAATACAGTATGGGAAGCCGTCGTATCTAAATCTAGCTACTAGTAATAGATCTAATATCTGTCTACCCTGTTGAGCCTGGGCGTTTCACATAACAGTTTATCGTTCGTTCGTACGAGTAAGATTTAATTTAAAAAAAAACGAAAATGCTGCATAATTGTAGTCACTTTGGATACCTTTTAAAATTTGCTAATTTTTAGGCGAATTGTAGTTAAAAACATTAATTTTAAAGAAAAATACTATTTTTATAGTTTAGTATTATTTATGAGATGTTATAATTTTTGGTAATGTCATAGCAGTACCTATGTGCCACTTCCGGGTTGGACCAAGGGTGGGGCGTTCATACTTACTTGGTTCAAACAGTCTGCGTTGCACAAACCAGTCTTCGAATTAATTGGTGCGATTTTTTATTTTATGCATATGAAAATACAGTCGAGAACGCAATGATCTAAAACTATCTTTCTCACTTGTCGCGTCGTCGTCCTTAAAGTTCCGCGTTATATTGTGGTCTTTGGTTTCGCGTTCATTTATAAACGTACAGACTAAATAGTCCATACAATAAGAAGTGAACTTTTTGTCGATGAAATGCAGTCGCTAATGTTAATGGTAATGCTAAGTCTGTCGCAGCCAGACCTAAGCCTGAAAAAGTATGAGGGGAAGTTCCTTTCGCTGAAACGAATTATTTAGTAAATAAACCATTTCATACATTTCAAATAGTTGAAAATTGTAAGAAACTGCAACCATTTCACTCGATGAAAATCCATGTTGGATAAGTTTCGTCCTTTGAGCCGTCTTCAAACCAGTTGCAACGACGACCGTTTTATGCAACCGTTTTCGTGGTCGCCAAAACGGTTGCGTTTCGTCCGTCAAAAATTCGACAATGACCCACCACTAGATTGGACAGGGTTTTTTTCTTATCAATTAGAATCAAAACCATGGATGATAGGGGTAAGGAGGACAATCTCTCATAGGTGAATAGTTGAAAATGTGACGCATCTGTAAGCAGTAAATAACATTTCAAAACTCAAACTAAAGTGCTCCAGTAGCTACAGGGTATGATAAATCGCCGTAAAATACGTTGAGAGTAATTTTGAAAATAAAAATTTTGAAAGCAATTAAATAAATATTGTAAAAAGAATTATGATGAGTCTATGCAATAATAAAATTATAAAAAGTTCTTTTAAATTTAGACTGTAGCTACAGTGGCGCCACCTTTCCTACGGGCACTTTTTTATACAGAGTCTGTACTCCTTACCTCTACAATCCATAATCAAAACATTATTAATGTCAAATATTGTTTTTTAAGGAATAAATCGTATCGTCAGAGTAATTACATACATACATATGTGTGCATTAATAATTTAAACATTACCTTTCGTGAATTATACATGAAATTTATCATGAAGCGAATACAACTTGACATCTGAACTATTACTATTTTAAAGTAAGGAAAGTATTGTTACGCGCCTAAGTCGACGTCATGTACCCGGCACTAGCGCCATCTAGTGTCAGGGACGAGAGTGGCCTCTTTGAAACGTAGAACTAAGCTTCTAGAAGCTGACACTCGAACTCTCGACACCTTGCGCGTGTTTACTTGAATATTCTGGATGTTTCGGTGCTAATTTGTATTTATAGGCGCTGCAAGATGCGATCGGGGAAGTATTGAATTCGGCGAGACAAGCGAAGCTTCGGAGCGAAATAAAGTGAATTAGTGAATTAGTTGCAGCTGCAGAGCGGACAGGAGGAACAGGTCCGTCAGTTGAAAGAGCAGCTGCAGAGCGGACAAGAGGAACAGGCCCGCCGACAGGAGGAACAGGCCCCGACAGGAGGAAGGGGGAGGGGCGAAGGAGGAACAGATGCTCCTCATGAAGAACCTTCACGCTACCTTTGGGAAAGAGATAAGGGAGGTGAAGGATAGGGTTGCTCAACATGACAACCGCCTGTCGGAAGCTGAAACCCGAATTGAAGAAAATGAAACCCGAATCAACCATGTGAACAATCGGGTTGACAACGTGATGGCTGACGTGAAGAAAACGCTGAACGACCTCTAACTTGGGGATAGAACTACAGCTCCCGTAGTAGCTACAGCACCTTCGCTACGTGGATTCAAAGTTCCGCCGTTCGACGGGACTTCTTCCTGGTCGGCCTACAAAATCCAGTTCGAGGCAGTCATGGAGGCAAACGGCTGGAATAAAAGCCAAGCCATGACTGCACTCACCTTAGGCGTGCGCGACCAAGCCTTAACCGTTTTGGAAGCTCTCGGTAAGAAAGTGACCTACGAGCAGCTCCTTGAGCCATTGGAGGCGAGATAAGGTGACGCTCACCTGTAACACGTCTTTCGCGCGCAGCTTAAAGATCGCGTGCAACGCAGCAACGAAAACCTGCAGCAGTGGGCCCTTGAGATGGTTCGAAAAGCATACCAGTCTGTACCTGCGCTCATTGAAGGGAACCTTGTGCAGACATTCATCGACGGCATCCGCGACCTTGAAGTCAGAGCTGCTGTGAGGCTGGGGCACCACGAGACGCTTAAGGACGCCTTGGCCCATGCACTGGAGGTGGAAGCTGTGCGGCAGGATCTTCGCTCCCATCGCGTCAGGGAGATTGCAGCAGCTACGGTACGCGACCGCAATAAAGGATACAGCCCTAGGTGCTATGGCTGTGGGGAAAGGGGCCATCTTCGATCCAGTTGCTCTAAGCGAATCGTAGAAAGGAAAGGTGAACGATATCAGGAAGGTGGTGCGGCTACCAGCCCGCTCAGCAGCAGCAGGAAAACGAGTAAAAGCCAGAACTGCGGGGCGGGTGCTGGCTGATGTTAAAAGAGCCCCAAGGATCTCGATCTCACAAACCCATGATGGGAACAGCCTAATCATTAAGGGCGAGATCAACGGAATGCCGTGTAAACTGACCATAGTCACTGGAGCCTCTCGCACGGTTGTTAGTTCCCAACTTATAAGACAGTTCCTTGGGGACTCCGCATACAACCGAGAACGCATTAATTTGGTAACAGCCACCGGTCAGCGTATACCCGTCCGTGGAGAGAAGGAGATGGGGTTGAAGCTAGGCAACGTGATCTACCTGCATAATGTCATCGTGGCTGATATAATGGACGACTGCATCCTAGGCCTAGACTTTATGAGGAATAATTGTTGTGAGATCGACGTTAAGCAAGGTGTTTTGAAATGTGGACAGGAGGAACTTTTTATGGAAGGTGCGTTACCAGGGAATGTGTGCATTAAGAAGATTGTTCTTCCGCCGAGATCAGAAACGATTGTTCCGGTTAGTCTTCCTCGAAACGCTGGGCAAGCTCACCGTTGTATACTTGTGGAAAGGGTAAACAATGACCTTCCATGGAAAGTAGCTCGAACCTTGGTCAGGACCTGTCGAAACGATGTCGAGGACTGGTGTCGCAAATGTACAAGTTGTGCGGCAGTAAAGGGACCTCAGACTCGTAGTAGAGGTGCATTGAAGTTGTACAATGTTGGTGCACCATGGGAGAGAATAGCCATTGACGTAGCGGGACCGTTTCCGGAGAGTGATAGCGGTAACAAGTATTTCATGGTTGTGATGGATTACTTCACTAAGTGGCCAGAAGTCTTCGCCATTCCAAATCCAGAAGCTTCAACAGTTGCGGATCAGCTAGTTCATGAAGTCTTCTGTCGTTTTGGAGTACCTTTAGAGATTCACAGCGATCAAGGTAGGAATTTTGAGTCTCAAATATTCCAGGAAACTTGCCGAGTTATGGGTACTCATAAAACAAGAACGACTTCTTATCACCCGCAATCTGATGGAATGGTAGAACGATTTAATCAGACATTGGAGAGGTACCTAGCAAAAGTTGTAGACAATCGGCAACGAGATTGGAACAAGCATATACAACCGTTTTTGTTGTCATATCGAAGTTCTGTTCACGAAAGTACAGCAGTGACACCAGCTTTCGCAAACTTTGGAAGAGAATTACGGCTGCCTGCAGACCTGATCACCGGGATACCACCTGAGGCCCCACGCAGTATAACCGATTATGCAAATGACTTGCAGAACAAAGTGAATGACATTTATGAGCATGTCAGACAATCGGGCCAGCAAATGTCTGAGAAGATGAAAACCCGGTGTGACCGCAAAATGAACAACAAAGGGTTCAACGAAGGTTCACTAGTGTGGTCGCACAATCCAGTCCGCAGCAAAGGGAAATCTCCTAAGCTTCAAGCTAAATGGGACGGCCCGTACCGGATTGTAACCAGGATCAACGATGTAACCTACCGGATACAGAAAGGCGCAAGAGGGACTCCTAAGATCGTCCATGTGGATCGCCTGGCGCGTTATTATGGGTCCGACAATGCTCGGAACGAGCATGTCTTAGGAGGTGGCAGTGTTACGCGCCTAAGTCGACGTCATGTACCCGGCACTAGCGCCATCTAGTGTCAGGGACGAGAGCGAGGGGAGCTTTCCAGAAAATGACATCACTAATCTTTCAACCGACATCGCCATCTAGTCTCGAAACGAAGAACTAAGCTTCTAGAAGCTGACACTCGAACTCTCGACACCTTGCGCGTGTTTACTTGAATATTCTGGATGTTTCGGTACTAATTTGTATTTATAGGCGCTGCAAGATGCGATCGGGGAAGTATTGAATTCGGCGAGACAAGGGAAGCTTCGGAGCGGAATAAAGTGATTTAGTGTGATTAATTATTAGTGTTTTAAGTTTTAATTTGTGTAAAGAAAATTAAAGTGTTAATTTAGGTAATTTTATCGGCAATTTTTATTTTCATGAACCTCAAGCTCGTAACAGTATGAAGCTTTCATTAGTTGGGATCGTTGGTTGACTCTAACCTTACCTGATTTTATACTCGACGCGAACGTGCACGTCCACTGCACAATTAAGAATTTTTATTATTATTCTTTTTAAATCCGGAAAATGTCTGTAGATCGAATTGAATTTAGATTCATATACTTAAGATTATATTATACCTCTATCGTGAACCGAATTCAATGATCCTTTTTTTATTAAATAGGTTTACTTTAAGTTAAACTATAAGGGTGGTCCCATAAATTTAAAAAAAAGGTCGACTCCTGAGTAACATTTTTGTCAAAATTAGATTATTTAAATAATATTTTTAGCCGACTTAAAAAAGGAGGAGGTTAACAATTCAACTGTTGTCTTTTTGTATGTAACGGGATATCTTCGTCCATTGTGAACCGGATTTAATGATTTTTATTGTATTAAATAGTTTTATTTAGGGGTGGTCCCATTAAAATTCATAAAAAATAAAAGCCTAAGTCAAAAGACTACTACAATAATAAAATATGCTGCTCCATACAATGTGTCTCAGCATCGACTTCTCAATGTTACATTTATCACTTTAGTTCTTTGAAGTCGGCTTTATTAAAAGTTAATTTCTTGGGATGCACAGGTGCTTCCGTGGCAGGTTGAGGTTCTACTAGCTGTTGCAGTTTTATTGTGTTAGATGATCGTTCGTTGCATATTATATTGTGTTGGATGATCGAGATACCTTTTTTTTTATCAGGAAAAAATATCTCAATTAGAAACAGAGATCGTGCAAGGAAATAGTCGAAAACCTCGCTTATCGATTGAAGCTATAACAGACTCGTCTCGGCGTCGACGGCAAAGTATTCACGACTCCAAGAGAATATTCAATGACAAACCACAAGGTACATGTTACTTATATTTAAAGATTAATGGTTTTACTTAATTTTTTTCCACCCATTTTATTTGAGTAACTACATTTGATATCCCGTGTAGGATAAACAAGGTAATTTTTCAAAGAGTAGCCAAATTTTAAACTTAAGTTCAAATATGTAAATAATGATATATCATTATTGCAGTTTTTGAAAATACGAGTACATAAGGCTTCTACTTCTATTTGCAATTATCTCAAAATGAATGTAATTTTTGGGCAACAACGTTTTTATCTACCGATCAACCCATCATCATCATCATCGATCAACGAATGTGCGTGCGTAGTAAAATCAGTTATTATTAACCTTCTCTACAAATTTGGCCGGTTATTGCAAAATAACCCTGTATATCCCTACTTAGTCCCTCGGGTGTCGTAAGAGACGACTATGGGAAATACCGGCAAAATCTCATGGCTAATAGATAGATGACGGTATAACCATCTCATTTACAGCAGTCGCAAAAATCGGCGACAAAGCGTGGCGATTGCGGCAAATGGGAGAAGCTTATGTATGTATAGCTGAGGACTGGCTGATAGTGAGGAACAAGATATGTCACTAATGTTGGATTTCTTTACATTTTTGTTGCATTCACATATTTAATTCACGAGTCTTTTGTAGTGTAGTAAATGAAGCGCATGGGAACCTCTTTTCTAAAACAAAATACTAGTTGATTAAACTACTTTTACGGATTTTATCGCATTTAATTTATTTGATTTTTAATGCCTGACGTTTCGGGTGTGCTTTGCAGCACCCGTGGTCACGGGGGTCTGAAGTGACTTACGTCCCGATGTCAGTGTTAACACGAAGTACCTTCAGCTTTTTAATTAATTTATTTATTTATTTTACCACTTACAACTATCATCACAGGTTATTACCTAATACAATAGTGCAGTTACAAACTAAGAAACTAGAACAAACATAATATGGGTATATTATGTACAACTTAAAGATATTTTACAATAAGCGGCCTTTGTGAATTCGTTCAGAGTACAGCTGAACAAATCAGTCTGTTGTGAGACCACGTTAAGTACACGCAGCGCGCTCGTCAAAGGCGTGTGCTGTAGCAAGTTGGTGCGCGCTTGCGGCACCAACTTGCTACAGCACATGTCTTCCTACGTACTCATTAGGGACACACAGCTTAGCTATCTGTAAAATACCTGGGTTATGTATTTTACCACGGATAACTTTTAGTAAGTAAGTGGCGAGAGCACTTTTCCCTTCTTATTTCTAGTTTATAATATCCTATCATGCCTAGTATAAATAAAGTAGGGTACAACAGTGGATAACCCGGGTACACACCATAGTGTTTTAAATACATAAATCTCACAAATTTGTTCTGAATACGTTCTAGCATTAATTTATATTTAACTTCATGTGGTGACCAAACAGCATTGCATTCTAAATGACTTTTTACGAGTGCCTCGTATAATGCTCTCAGAGCACAGATGTTTGTGAATCTGTTGGCTAGCCGTAAGACCATCCCTAGGTTGCGGTATGCTTTTTTACAAACATTAGTAATGTGTTTTCGAAATTGTATGTCGGTAGTGCATCGCACGCCTAAATCATTAACCTCAAAAACTCGTTGCAGAGGGGTTCCATCCATATAATATTGATGATGACTCGCGTTATGTGTACGGCTGAATGATAGAATAGAACATTTCGCCGCGTTGAAATATAATTTATTTTCCATACTCCACTCTACGACTTTCGTTATATCCTGCTGTAGCATGTCATGATCCGCCCGCTGCTTTATTTTTAAAACTAATTTCAGGTCATCAGCAAATAACAAGGGTGTAGATTTATTGACTACTTCAGGCAAATCGTTGATTGTCAGAATAAAGAGAAAAGGCCCTAAATTACTGCCCTGACTGACACCTGATTTATTAATTATTATTTATGGTAAATATCAAATAAATTTAACGCGATAAAATCTATAAAAGTATTTTAACCAATGTGTAATGTTCGCGTAAATATAAGGAATCATTACAGAACACTAGTTCAAGTATATATGATATACATTGCATACATTTATAGTTTTCATTTCATGTTATTCTATGTTGCAAAATTAATGATTTGTAATAAAGAGCGTTTTTACATGCACTTCGTACACTGACCTCTATATATACACTTGTAGACACAGAGGTCAGTGATCTTGTATGTAATAAAATGGATTGTTATTTGTTGTTATAGAATGAAATTTTCTTGAATGTAGGTATCGGGCATAAATCACTAACTTCATTAAGAAATTATCCACCATCATCACCTGCAAGTAGTTTAATATTGCATTGGCCTTTGTAATATTATAATATATATATATATATATATATATATATATATATATATATATATATTGTAATATTATAACTATGTAATTATTGACTTTTCAGATCACAATAAAATGGAGTCAGTTTTTGATGTCCGCTCTAAGCCTGATGACTTCTTCATGGATATTGATGAAAATAATTCCTCTAGGAGTACGCCTGTTTGCCACAACAAAGGGTAGGTTATCGATAGAGACTTTAATACTGTTACGAGCTTAGGGTTCGTGACAATAAACATGCCGATTGAATTACCAAAATTGACACTAATTGCCGAACTCCAATTAAAACTTAAAACACACTAATAATTAATCGCACTGATCACTTTATTTCGCCGAAGCTTCGCTTGTATCGCCAATTCAATACTGCTCCGGTCGCGGCCCCAAACGGCCTTATATGGGCCTTTTCTGCCGAAACATCCCAGAATGTTCCAGCAAATACCGGTCCCGACCGACTAGATGTAGAAAATTCGAGTGTGGACTTTTCTAGAAAGCTTAATTCCTCTATTTATTCCTCTAGATGGCGCTGTTGGTGGAAAGTTCAGGCATGGCATTTTCTAGAAAGCTCTCCTCGCTCTGCTCCCCGTCACTTGATGGGGCTAGGGGCATCAAATATGGCTTGCAACAATACCTAGTAGAGCCAAGATGCATCATATTATTATAATAATATAGCACTTTCACACTGAAACTGGCACAACTCTGGAAGGAGCATGTTCATACAGAATACCAGCGTAATGCTGTTTCTTACCGTGAGTGAAGACAATGGTAGACCCTTTTTATTTGTATTGAGGCATTCCATCTCAGTCGTTAAGGGTGATAATGCATCCTCCCGTATGATCACAAAAAGCCGAATATGGTTAGCAGAAGAAACTACTTGGTCGCTCCAATGGTCCCAGTTAGATTTGTTTTTGCTAAAAGGCAGTATACAAGGCAGTCTTCCCGTTTATATACCAACTGAATAAAGAGCTGCACATCTATCCTCTAAAACTTCGTGACTGTACATTAATTGTCACTGAATGGCTTAAGACTAAAACCTACGATGATATTGAGGCAATGGTATCATCGTTATCATGTTTTTTTTTTTGATATCAATTGCATACTCTGTATAATGTTAAGGGGAAGAGCGGAGTCACCTAACACAAGCATCTCCTTGCCTAAAAGGTGTTCTCCAGATCATGTATGTTAAAACATTGTGTAATTGAAATAAACATTTTTAATTTTAATTTTAATCTGCTTTTTAATCCTTAATCGAAAGTACTATACAGGCTTTTCTTACCCTGTCACTGCACGGCGACATCAAGGAATCCACTACGCAATATCGTCTCGTGGGTGTCAAAAGAGGTGACGGAGGGAAATGAAACAGATGGGCACCAGCATCTTTCCGATAATAACTCAAAGTAATAAAACTGCGATTGTCTACCCGTCTACTAACTAGCTATTAGTACCAGCTAGTAGCTAGCTAGCTACTACTAAGCGTGGCAACTATGGCTAATATCGCTAAGAGGTATATATATATATATATATATATATATATATATATATATATATATTATATAATATATATATATATATATATATATCCTTCAAGAAAAAAGCTTACTCCTTTCTAAAGGGCCGGCAACGCACCTGCAATTCCCCTGGTGTTGCGGTTGATCATGGGCGGCGGTAGTCACTTAACATCGGGTGAGCCGCATGCTGGTTTGTCCCCTCTTCTATAAAAAAAAAGGAAATTTATAGGGGAGGCCTTAATTCAGCAGCGGGCTGTTTTCCGCAACTCTACGTAAAGCCTGTATTTTAATTCCTTGGCGGCCTCGAGGAACGACCTCGACGCGCCGAATTGTTGAACTCTTATATTGTAGCGATCTCTAGAAAACATTTCATTAGTATGCGCGCCGCCGTTTCTTCACTCGTGCACTGAAGACTCTGTGTTACACGTATGGTTGTTAAAAACGTTTTGGTCAAAAGAATCATGAACGGTAATAGCACTCGTTGCTGTCTGAATCTGATGGTTGTTAAGTCGTATGTGCCCTGGAGATGTGACCATAGAATACTATAATACACAATAGAATGGCTGTCAACTTTATTTTGTACGAAGATTGGCGTCGCCAAACTTGATTCGCTGTGTTGACAGACTGAGTAAATTTACACATTTTAAACTTTTGATTAATGTTCAAAACAAGATCATCATTAAAAAAAATCGTTCATTTTTTTGTAAATAAGGTACAATTTGGCATTTTATAAATAATTTGCATGCGAAATTTGGAAACGATTGTAACATCAAAACACAACTCGTGTTGACATTTATAGGTGTGAATTGATGTGTTAGTGACATTTTAGTGGCTACGCGGGCTCCGCCCACTCTCCCGTTTTATTATGTATGTATTATATACTTATGTGTAAATCAAATTATTTCTGTTCCAGACGCGACAGTTTGCAGTCCAAACATGAGGAGGTAATTATATTTTTTTTATAATTAATAGTTTAAGCCACTGTTTAGTTTTTAAACAACGTCAAAAAAAAGGAGGAGGTACTCAATTCGACTGTATTTTTTATTTATGTGTGTTACCTCAGAACTTTTTTCTAGGTGAACGGATTTTGATGATATTTTTTTATTTGAAAGCTGGTGCTTCTTATGTGGTCCCATATAAATTTGATTAAGATCTGACCAGTAGTTGAGTAATCTTTAATAATGCGTATTTAAATGACTTTGACTACATTGATGATGTTCTCATTTTATTTATATTGAAGTCGTTTGCACATTTTTTTATTTTATCACTTGTTGGTTACTTATATAATGCATGTCGTTTTCTTTGTGTTCGTTAAAGTATTAACATACCATTGCATTACAATTATATTCTGATTCACATACGACATCCCAGTGGACCGACTGATGATAGTTATACATAACTACTCTTACTCTTGAAGTACTTGTATGATAGTCAAAGTTGCAGCCTATACAAGTCTTATAGATGGGCACAGATCTCCTCTCACTTCTTCGAGGGTTTTTAGAGCAACGACCGCGCTGTCCCAGTGTGTGTTGGCGGACTTCGCATGTCTTCGAAATGTTTATTTCTCAGACATGCAGGATTCCTCATGACGTTTTCCTTCACCGCCGAGCACGTGATAAATCAGCACTTAAAATTGCAATTTTATTGTTAATTGCAATTTTAAGTGCTGACGCCGGCAGCGTTGATCGAACCCGGGTTGCTCGCGTACTGTGAAATTTAAAGCGAACGCTAAGCCTCTGAGCTACTACGGCTCCATAAAATATGATAGTTATTGTTATATAAACATAACGAAATTGAATCGGAAAATTAAATACAACCTTCATTAGTTAAAAACATGATGCGAAGTGCGTAGCGGTGGTGTAAAAATATGCACTACTCTATATCATGCCGTGGATGTCGTAAGAGGCGGCATAGGGATACTGAACTATGGAATCAACATCTTCCTGACAACTTAATATAATAAAAAAACTACGGTTACCAAGCCGCCTATCTATCGTAGTAACGTTGGCAAATATCTCCAATATGAGGCAATCTATGGGGGAAGCCTATGTATAACAGTGGACATGGAGATATAGCTAATTTTGTAGTGTTGTATGCCTTCAATATTATATATTCATTTTATATTATTGATATAACTGATTTTGCAATCTCAAGTTTATAAGTTTTATTATAGCTTTACGGGATTTTTATAGATCTTTATATTTACCCCATATAAGAGAGACCACATTCAAAATTAAGCTCGTACACTCCTGCATCTTGTAGACGCAAATAGGTACACTTGACGGATGATAAGAGCTAATCTTCTGCGACTTGTAGAATGTTCTAATAGAAGCTTGCTTCAAAATGTAGATAAAGTTGTCCGTGACCTCTTACTGTAGTTATTAAAATTAAAACTAATTCCAAGCTTACTACTGCATTATTTTATTTATTCTGCATAGATCGGAATAAAATTTATAATGGGTTAACTTTGACATTGGAACGTAAATCGCCTCAGTCCCAATATCCATGGGTGCAACAAAGCACCTGAAACATTTTGAAATGAATAATAAGTAAAATTAAATTTAAAGTACGTTATAACAATTTTATTCAATGAAAAAAAAAACGATTTGATTTCTTTTAAATACTTTTTTTCTACAAGCTATAGAAGATTCAATTTAAATAGCCACCTACTACTAAATAGCCGCTAACGCTAAAAAGCCAATTGTTAACGTTAGCGGCTAGAATAGGGTGACCTTCCCAAGTTCCGCACGGGCTCCTGTCCATATTCACGAAACAACATGGACCAAATCAATTTTTTTTTATTTCCACAGAGTGATGAGGAAGAACGCACCTCCCGTCCCAGCAGTGTGCTGGCAACTCGGCAGCGCAGACAGAGTTCTCATGACTTGCACCGAACCATGTCACAAACCACACCTGAGAGACATGGTAAGTTGTCTAATTTATTTTTTATTTTCCTATATTATTGGTTTTAATGGATTATTTATGTATTAAGTTAACAGGGTTAATAGGCAGCGAAGGTAAACCCTTTTATATTACTGAAGAATAGTTTTTTTTAGAATAAGCATGACAAACGAGCACACAGTCCATCTGATGGTAAGTGGATTCTGTGGCCCATAGACATCTAGATTTATCCTCGATTAAGAATGAAAACGCAGATGCGTTGTCATACCTAAAAAAGTAGAGGGAAGAAAACAAAATAAATTACTTTTTGCTAATATAATATTATTGTACGTAATTTGTTGAAAGCCACGGGCCTCTACTATTGAGGGAGGGAGTGAGGAACTTCTGAAACTCGGTGGGACAGATCATTTTGTATTTTTAACTCAGATCTTAGCTAATTCTTTTACACTGAGATTAACTTAGAGACTTAAATTTAGAGAAACTTTTTTAACTCAGATCTTAGTTAATTGAAGAGCCGTGGTAGCTCAGATGTTTAACACTCGCTGTAAATATAACAGAACGCGAGTAACCCGGGTTCGATCCCCGCCGGCACCAATGAAATTGTTTATTGCAATTTTAAGTGCTGATATACCACGTTCTCGGCGGTGAAGGAAAACATCGTGAGGAAACCTGCATGTCTGAGGTATAAGAAAAAAATTATTTCGAAGACGTGAAATTCGCCAACACGCATTGGGGCAGCGCGGCGGACACTTCCTTGCCCTAAAACCCTCTCAGAAATAAGGGGAGGCCTGTGCTCAGCAGTGGGACGTATATAGGCTGTAACTTTACTTATTTAGCTAATTCATTTTAACATCTCTATACATATAAATAAAATTGATTTGTCCGGCTGTAATATTGAAATAACTAGCTTCTATTCGGCTGAGGGGGGAGTACTTGAATGTTATTAGGACATATATAACCACTTTTTTATATTGTCTGTTTGTCAGTCTGTCTGGGCCAATCTTCGGAATGGTTCGGAAACTAATTGTAATGAAAATTTACGAAGAGATAGAGAGCAGTGCCAAGAAGGATCTAGGTTATTTTTCATCCGAAAAGATTTAGAGATTTTTTTAATTTTTATTTTTGTTAACCAAAAATTGATAAATTTATGCCTTTAAACTCTATCTTAATAATGCTATATATAATAGAAACTATGCAGGCGAAGCCGGGGCGGGTCACTAGTCTTTAATATAATGCAGTTCAGCAAAGTAAAGCCTGATAACGATTTCTTATACTTAAATCTAAATAACGCTATATACAATAGAAACTATGCAGGCGAAGCCAGGGCGGGTCGCTAGTCTTTAATATAATGCAGTTCAGCAAAGTAAAGCCTGATAACGATTTCTTATACTTAAATCTAAATAACGCTATATATAATAGAAACTATGCAGGCGTAGCCTGGGCGGGTCACTAGTCATTAATATAATGCAGTTCAGCAAAGTAAAGCCTGATAACGATTTTTCTTATACTTAAATCTAAATAACGCCGTATATAATAGAAACTATGCAGGCGAAGCCAGGGCGGGTCGCTAGTCTTTAATATAATGCAGTTCAGCACAGTAAAGCCTGATAACGATTTCTTATACTTAAATCTAAATAACGCTATATATAATAGAAACTATGCAGGTGAAGCCAGGGCGGGTAGCTAGTCTTTAATATAATACAGTTCAGCAAAGTAAAGCCTGATAACGATTTCTTATACTTAAATCTAAATAACGCTATATATAATAGAAACTATGCAGGCGAAGCCAGGTCGGGTCGCTAGTCTTTAATATAATGCAGTTCAGCAAAGTAAAGCCTGATAACGATTTCTTATACTTAAGGTTGCCCTAGTCGATGGCACGAACTAAGTGGTGGGCGGGGTAAAAATGCATGCTATCTCAGCCGACATCACGTGCGAAAGGGATAGACGCTGTGATGAGCAGTAAGAAGTTAGTGCGCACACATACGCACTCGATTGACGCAATGCGAGACGGCGTCATCGCGTACCTACCTATGCGATTCATTTTTGTATAATAACATAAACTCCGGCAATTTGAGTTTGAATTTTGATTTGGGGTAACGTATTTTAAAAAGAGAAAGGAGAGAGAAAACAAATTGGTGTTATTATAACTTAGGATCTGCTGTGTGAAACGTAATTATTATGAACCCAATTTATGTACTTAGTTGTTATTATGAAAGTTCTTATGTGAACTTAAGTAGATGTTGTTATTATATAATAATTCCATTGATTTGTTTTTACCTACTTTTTAACCGACTACGAAAAAAGGAGGTGGTTCTCAATTCGTTGGTTTTTGTTTATGTATGTTCTGTCCCCGTTTTCTCGAAGATGCCTGAAGCCTGAACCGATTTTGAAAATTATTTTTTTGTTGGAAAAGATTTATTTTCCAGATAATCCCACGGTAATCGATGATGGTCAGATCAGGATCTAATGATGGGATCTTGGAGAAATCGGGGGCACTCTTCAATAAATTACAGCAAATCAACCGCGATTGCTGCTATCGCCTATCTAAGCATTCTTTACACAATCACACAATATAATATCACGCCTGTACCCACTAAAGGGACATAACTCTCAACTAAAAACGGTAATATAAAAACTTTTTTGAAAAAATATAACAATTTCTAAAACAAACACAAAAAAGTGTAACATAATTATGTTTTCTTTATATGTTTTTGTATTTTACTGTAGGTTATGCAAATATTACTGTAGGTACTATGTATTCTAAATAGGTATTTACTTTCCATAGCTAGTTAGCTATAATAGCCCACAGGCAACTCCCCGAAGTATATGTCAGCCAGTGTCAGGATAACTGCTTTTTCGACAGCGCGATTTTGATGTGAGTGGGGCTTTTATATAGGTTAATTAAATAAATAAAAAATGTTAGTTTGTAAATTGTTTATTGATTGTTTGTGTTCAATAGCGGTTTGAAATAATGTCTTAGTACTTAGAAAGTTATCAACAATAGGCATTGTGTCACTGCAGGGACAAGCACAAACGTCTATCAAAATAGTAACGTATATAAACGGAATACTAACAGCACAGACTTCCTTACAGAAGTCCAAAGAACACGTCTAGGCAAGGTAAGTAATTAGAAGAAAACTACAATTTAGAGATCGATTGTAAATCAAATGCACAGTACAGACACAATTAGCGAAATGTGAATAAAATTTTCATTTATTTTATCCTATACCTTTAAAGGAGCAATTCTTGTATATGTATATATATATATTATCGGAATCTCGGAAACGGCTCCAACGATTTTCATAAAATTTTGTGTGCAGGGAGTTTTGGGGGCAATAAATCGATCTAGCTAGGATTTATTTTTAGAAAATGTCTTTTTGTCCGTGTTTTTAGGCAGTGAAAAACTGCTACAATATCGTTAGAATAAGAGGGTAAATTTTGACAGTTCATTAACGATTACAAATAGCTTAATTGGTATATTGGGCGGTCACAAAATCGTAATACCGTGGTTCGAGCCCAGACCGACCGACCTACTTTTTTTAATTTTCTTTCAAGTTCCTTTTTTTTTTTGAGAAAATCAATTTTTTCGAGCCCTTTTTTAGTATTTTTTAAAAACACGAAAATTTAAATTAAATTAATTGCACTCATGATTTTTTATACAAATAACCAGTTCAGTTTTTTCTATTATGTCGCTAAGATCAAAAAATATTATTCGTATTTCATCAGTATGTAATTTGTATCTAAATATAATTTCCAAAACACACGAATTAAAAAAAAACTGAACGAAAATACCGAGCAAAGCTCGGTCAACCGGGTACTGATAGATAACGCTAGTTGAAAACTAAACATTGTATGGGAATGGCATCACTGAACGAGTCAGGTGGTCAGTCCAAACAAATAAAAGGCGCGATTGTAGAAAGAGATTCGTTACGAAACGTTTGTAGGCTAGGGGGCTTGACCTGTTTATGCTATTGATAACGAAGGCTATAAAATATGTACAACTTAGAAACTTAATCCTATGTGTACTTATCTGTATTCATAACCCAATATCTAAGGTAGATTGATGCGCTCCTTAGTTTTTATATAGTTCGTATTATTCTGTAATAAATTATATCTAATCCAAAATATACTATAATACCATAGCAAAGCTACTACTATTTTATTTAATAGTAGCTTATATAGTAGTATGTCTGAGGTAAGGTTAAATATAAACAAATATTTTGCTAAGTGCGAATCGGACTTCCTAGCTTCCGAGATTACAAGATTTAAATACCTATACATATTACTATCGATCAAAAAAGCCAAAAATACACGTTTCTTTTTCTAGTAGAAAATCCTTTAATTTCAAATTTATTTTTACCACTTGCTGTTATAGCGGCAACTGAAATACACGTTCTGTGAAAATTACAACCATCTACCTATTACGGATCATGAGATACAGCCCGCTGACAGACAGACACACGGACAGCTGAGGCTTCGTAATAGGGCCCTGCTGGTTACCCTTCGGGTACGGAATCCTAAAAAGTACTAAGTTGTCCACTCACATCTGTATGATTCTTTCTTCAAAGGATCATATTAGCCTGGTTCTCTTATGACATGACCAATGTAATACCTGGACTGACCTCTCTGAGTTTGTTTCGGCAGATCAGGTGCTTCTTCTCAGTTTCATGTTTTTGTTGTGTTAAAGTGTTTAAAAAAAAACTTACAAAACACGTTATATTTATCATTGACTGCCCTTCTTAGATTATTATGTACTTACATAAATTACATTAGGTATATTAGGATATGAGATTCCTATACGTAAGCACGATTATCGAAAATCTAAAAATTACCTATTCTAATTAAATTAATAGATAATTTTAAGATTTTCGATAATCGTGCTTATCCATGAGATGTTTTCGTTAGTTAGCAAATTAAAGTAGTTAAGTATCTAATGTACTACCTGTATCGAAAGTTTATTATTATGTACCTACCTGTTTTCAATTTTAACTAAATTGCTTCAACAAACTTATGGGCTAAAATAGCAGCTATATTCATCCCGGCTTCAGCAATGGACACGAACAAAAGGAAGCAATTTTTCTAAATAAAGATGTAGATATGTGGGTATTACAACCATAAATAGATAGCAGCGGCTAACCTAGTGAGTATGTGTGAGTGCGCGCTGGCCCCCCCCCCCCCCGCCTCCGTCCGTCCCACTGATCGAGGAAACAATTTGTAGCGAAAGGCAAGATGTTTTATAACAAAAACGGGCGCGCAAAATTTTATAAACAGACCTTTGGTAGTCTGGATGTCACGAAAAATCTATTGAATGTATCTGTTTAAAATAAAATTATTTGCATTTTTGAACAACTAATCTATCACTGTATGGTAACTGTTTTGCAATTTTTGTTCTTCTTATGGTATTTATTTCCGCCCAAAGATGTGTTAAAACTAGTGTTGAAATTCGGATTTTCGACGCTTAATTCTTTTTGTTTCGATACAGGGCTAGATAATGATGAGACAAATTGAAATCATTTTTTATTTTGAACGTACACCATCAAACAGTGGTGTAATCGCTGGACTACGTTTGTATGGAAGAATAAGCGACTAGTGTAACGCTATATATAATAAATAGAACCTATGCAGGCGAAGCACCCTATAGCTTCGTAGTGAATAAAACTAGGAGCCTGAATTTTCAGTAACCTAGTAGGCATTGTATAAACATAGTATATTTTCAAATTTCATTCAATTTGAACCAGTAGTTTAAGAATTATAACTAGTGAAAGTTTCTTAATTTTGTCACTCACTGACTGACCGATCATCAAAACTCTAAGGCACTTCTAGCGGACATAGAAGCTTTAAATTTAGAATACAATTAGAGTAGAAATCAAGGAAAACTAAAATATTTTTTAATTTCGGTCCAGTTTTCTGCAACAACAACAACTGCATAAATAACTTTGTAATCCCATATAAACATATAGAATTAGAAAGTTACATTTGCAGTGAATGAATCAGAGTACTTGTATATGTATAATAGGTGTAGATAGGTACGTTGTTGGTATTCAAGAAATAAAAGGTACCGGAAAGGAAAAAAGTAGGACTATCTTATCTACAAAAAGAAATGAGATGCCATCAAAAACATTACTTGTAAAAAAACCAAGTCTCGGAACTCAATTCTTCTACCGTAAAAAGTTTTCATTCCAAGTATCCATGTGATACCAAGTCGGTTAATTTATTCAGTCCCTACTTAAGGGTCCTTCAGTTTTAAGTTATTTCGTAATTAGCTAACCTAACAACATTTTATAGTTACCATATCAATGTTGAAAATCTTTTATGTTTCAAATAAATAAATTAATTTTTGGTATGCTTGGGTTAGGATTTAATTTTATTAATTAGTTATTTTGTTATGTTTGTAAAATTCGTCGGTTTTTAGTTTAATTAAGTCCATTAGTTTAATAAAATTAATCAACTTACTTATAGTATATAAAAAGGATGTTCTTTCAATATAACAACTTATTTATAGACATTCATGCCAATTAACTTTTTAAAAACAGTATAAATATTTACCTTAGAAATTGTACGAGAATAGGAATGAGTAGAGTCATAGTTTCTTATAATCATACAGTCATCTTTGTCTATATTTTGATTTGAATATCCTCTACCCTCTTTCAGCATTGTAATTTTGGTTTCAGATCAGCATCGCAATAAAGATAATGATGATTCCAAACATGAAATATCAAATCATGACAATAATAACAGGTATGTATAGCTTAAATACAAAAAATTCTATTGAATTCTCACAAAAAAAGCGGCAACCAATATGATAAATTTGCTTTTCTTGTTTATATGTAATTTAAAATTTATGTCAAAGCAATATTTGAAAATGTTTGACATTTTGGAATTAATTTTATTAGACACAATTTGTATATAATATTTTCTAAACGTTACAGCAAGGTGAAAGAGCTGCAAGAACGTTTGTCTTCTTGCCAGCGAGAGCTCGAAGAGCTAAAAGAGAAATATAGGGAACTAGATGAAGAGTGTGAAATATGCGCGGAGTATCTGCAAGAAAGAGACGCAAAATGCATTCAGTTAACGAAGGAAAAGACTGCTTTGGAGGTAATCCCTCATTTAACTTGAATTTACATTGTGTAAACATCGCCATTATCAATAAATTATTACCACCATATACCATAGTTTTTAAAACTTTCCTACAATTTAAAAAACCGTTTTTCTTAAAGTGCTAAATAAAATGTTATATTTTAAAATGTATTAACAGAGAAATTTTTGAAATAAATCAATACAACTTAAAACAGATTTACAATTTTTGCCTCCACAAACCAATGTTGTATATGATAACATTAGCGAATATATAGCGGCGAATGACCGCAGCGTCATAGATGCGAGACGTCTGGCAATGCGATGGTCAATAATCAAGTCCGCCTGCCAAGTGTCATGATTAAAGCCAATCCTCCTAAACAAAAGGCCTAATGATCTATGCTCACCAGGTGTCGCTAGGTTGGACTAAGGTGAATTTATTTTTTCTGCAGATGGTTGAATGAAAGTTGCGTATTAATTATAATTTTTTGGTTTTTATTTTTCATTATTACACACAGTACACCTGTTTAATAATGAACAAGTTAAGTAGTTGTGACCCATAGACATCTACACCAGTCTTCAATCACGAATCATGCAGATGCGTTGCCAACCGTGAGGACGCCTTGTTTCTAGAAAATGGATCTCCAGTTCTCTGCACTCACCATACGAAACACAGCAGTGTTGAGCTGCTATTTCATGTGCTTGTATTCAGTGAAAGCGTGAGCCTTCCCCGGTTGAGTGGACCCATTCGTGCTACAACTATTCTACTAATATAGCTGCAGCTTGGCTCTACTAAATATTTACACAAAACAATCCCTCTGCTGTTATATTATATAATTTTTTACAAATTTTTAACTTTTTTAATTCTTGTACTTTTAAGAATATCCATAATTTGGTTTGTCCATTTCTGATCTAATTAATATACAGTAAAACTAATTTCAAAAAGAAACCTTCATCCCTACACTTTTTTAACAAAGTAACTTTCTGGTATGGAATCTGGTCATTTTAAAATAGCAGTTTAACGCTGCTGTGCTTCATATGGTGAGTGTAGAGAACTGGAGACCTTAGACCTTTTTTACTGGAAACAGGGCATTCCATTTTAGACCTCAGGGGTGACAATTCATCTGCATTTTCATTTTTAATCGAGCATATGTAGATGTCTATGAGTCACAGCATCCACTTACCATCAGATGGACTGTGTGCTTGTTTGTCACTTTTATTTTTATAAAAAAAAATGCTTAAGGACTAGGAAAACTGCTCGACTATTTGACAAATCAATCTATTAAATTCTGTTTTGCAGAACATAATTAACGGAAATTAACGAGAAACTACAGCGCTTCAATCCTGATTCCCCTCAAAACTTAATAAAAGAGAGAGAAAAAAGAGTTAACTTTGCACATGTAGCCGTTAACACAGACGAAGGTATTTATTTTTTCATACATTCTACTAATAAATATGTTTATCTAATTTTATTTAGAAGTATTTATATATAAAATCTCTTTGTGAAATAAGAATAGAATGGGAGTTGATCGAGCAAGTAGATGAGTTTGTATAATTGGGTTGCGTATTCAGCAGTGATGGGAGATATGATAAGGATATAGAACGACGAGTGAATGCAGGAAATAGAGTAAATGGGGCCCTACACTCTATTGTGAAGAGTCAAAATTTGTCAAAAAAGGCACATATGGAAATTCACAATGCTGTGTTGGTCCCTACTTTAACATATGGTAGTGAAAGTTGGGTGTGGCAGAAGAAGCACGAGAGTAGAATGAACGCAGTAGAAATGCGGTCGTTAAGGAGTATGGTAGGGCTGAATCTGAATGACAGGGTGAGAAATTGTGTGATAAGAGAAGAGTGTGGTTTGCAAGATGATGTTGTGACCAGGATTAAGAAAGGAATGCTGCGGTGGTTTGGTCATGTGGAAAGAATGAATGAGGAAAGAGTCACAAAGAAAATTTATGTTGCGGAAGTGAAAGGCAGACTCGACAAGGGACGTCCTAGGCGAAAATTCATCGACCAAATTAACGATTTATTGAAAATGGGCAACATTAGGAGTACCCTTAACCGACGAGCATGTATGCGTATATGTATATATGGACGTGAAGGAGGCGAGAGAGGTTTGTCAGGATTGTGCCAAATGCAAGTCTGTAGTCTCTGCCTACCCGTCTGGGTGACAGGCGTGATTGTTTATGTTTTATTATGTGTGTATTTATATATTTAAGACCAGCTGTTCCCCGCGATTTCGCCCGCCCCTTTGTAATTACAGATTTTTTTGCGCGGAACCCTAATTCTTTTTCTAAAACAAAAGTAGTCTATGTTACTCGTGATAACATCAGCTATCTGCCAGTGAAAGTGTCGTCAAAATTGGTCAAGCCGTTTCGAAGATCAGCCGGACCAAACAGACGGACAGACAAAAAATTTAAAAATTGTATTTTTGTTATAAGTACCGCATACACTAAATTTGTAATGTAAAAACTATTATTTTGACATTACAAACACACTTCAATTTTATTATTTATTTGTATAGATTTTGTTTTGGTGGCAACATAAGAGAATCCATTTAAACCTTTTGAGCGCCAAAGTCATCTGTCTAGTACTAACATTTACGGGTCCTGTGCGCCAACGACGTCTATAGTAGACAAAAAACCCGGCCCAAAAAGTATGAAATATAGATATCCAAAAATTATTAACGGTATTTTATTTCTATATTCCTCAATATAGAATATCCCAGCAACATGTGAGTATAAAAACAAATCTGTTAGAGTCACAAGTACTGAGAAACATTGAACTAAAAAACATGGATTTTTATCCAAGAAAATACTATGGCCGGCACGCCAAAGTCGTTACGTTACGTTGTAATGCGGGAGGCATAGATTTCTTGAAAACTAATGATTTCTTATATTTACGGGAACACTACACATTAAATGAAACTAATTTCTACGGATTTTATGGTGTTTAATTTAAATTTTTAATTCCCGATGTTTCGGGTGCTTCACAGTACCCATGGTCACAGAGGGACTGAGATGTTTGACGTCCCTGTCATAGTTAGTCCGGCCTTCGGTTTGTAATATTTTTTTTTGGTCCGATCTACGCATGAACTTACAGTATCTTGAAATCTTGCAGTATGAAATTAGGATGTCTTTTAATCTCAATAGCCTCGCAAATCAGCCTAGGCTGGAATCGGTGTTCTTTTGCGAGGATTTGTGGTCTATCAAATCTTATGTAACGGCGGCGTCGATCTTGAACGGACCCGAAGCTTGTCTTGCAATACTTGCTTGATGTGCTAAAGCTCGGCGGGCAGATGTTTCCTATCACAGATCCCTGGTGCTCTCTGAAACAAAGATTTTCCCAAGGTAGCTAACTGTAAAGGATGGTGGCGAGATTCACTGTTTAAATATTGATTGGTATGGGTCTTTTTCCTATTCCTATCAGGTGTCTAACACATCTAGAAGAGCTAAAGAATCATTTGCCTGTTACTCCATTGGATTATAAGATCCCAATTAGGAGATTTTTTTGTGAAATCGAAGAGTTAATAAAATGCGAGGCAAATCGCTAGTTACAAATAAAATTATCTAAAATAATATTAATTTGTTAATAACAGTTAAATTCAAGTTAAATCAACACTTATGATATTAAAAACATAAATTTAAATGATTTCTTCCGGTTGGTATAAAATTCATTTGAATTAATATAACTAAAATAATGCTAACACATGTATTAAAAATAACATCTATAGATAACATATCCAGTTCACTTATTTGTTAAGAAATTGTATTTATAAAACATATTTATTTTAGTTTTATTCCTAATTACAGACTGGACAAATCTACACTCTGTTGTCGTGGACAGAATGTCTTTTGACGCCGAAGTGGAGAAGAACAAGAGATTGACAAAAGTAATAGAGGAGCTTCGTTTCAACAAGCACGAATTAAAGAGTGTGATCTCTAAAATGCAAAGGACTCTAGAAGAGAAGACTACCAAAGATGGCAGAGAATTGGAGAAAACAAGAATTGAATTGCGCTGTTGTAAGGAAGAATTAGAAGATCTTAAGAAAAGATATACAGAACTTGATGAAGAATGTGAGACATGTGCACAATATTTGAAAGAACAAGAAGAGCAATGTCGAAGGCTGAAGGAAACTATTGGCGCTTTAGAGGTATTGTATTTGTGTGAACATTTTAAGTAATTATCGTATATTATAATATATTATATTTTATATCAAATCACCATACCCAATACTCCGCTTAACAATACGAGGCTACCGCTAAAGAACCTACCGCATTGGTTGACGTTTCTTCTTTCTATATGAATGGCTTATTGCTGATCCAAAATAATTTTAAAAAAGGACAATATTATTATTTTTAGCTTCTTTAAGGGCAATCTCTAATGTCTGTGTGTCAAAAGTTCTTTGACTCTCAAAATATCACAATGAAAAGCACTTAAGGCGAGAATTTTCTCCCATCTCCACTACACGGATATTTGTTTAGTACGGAGTAAGTGTACTACATTTGGTGGACAAATACACTCACCTGCAAAAAACGGCGGTTTTGATTATTTTCCTGTCGGAAAAAAATACAAGACGAAAAAGTTTTTAATCATTTGAACATGTTACTGGCCGGTTATAAAAGTATCGTGGTGTTTAAAAAAGGTCGTACTAAATTGAAATTTTTTGCCTTAAGCTGATTTTCAAAGAAAACACCTTTTTACTACCTTTTGTGGCGTGAACTCCCGAAAGTTATTAACGTCTCTAAATAGCATTTAGTTCATTTTATTAAATTATCTAATTTTCTCGATATTTATATTTACTTTAGTGGTCTCGAAAATGGTAGATAACGTGATAAATTTCAGCAGAATTATTGTGTTGCTTGTACAAAATGTAGTTGTGTAGTAATACGAGTCGTTCGACTATTCAAAGAACCAGATAGCACTATCAATAAACCGGTTAGATCATGTATGCGCATATTTATTCCTGAGCATATGCTATTTCAAGAAGTATCAATTCTCGCGAGTCAAAATCTTGTCTAAAATACGATATTTTGTCCAACCTAGCCTTACTATTAATGTGTAAAGTTTAAACTAATTGTACAAACTAACGCATGCTAACATACTTCACATGTACTTGAAGTTTCTTAAACATACATGTTTTAACTGTCGAGCAGGATGTAAATCAGCACTTAAAAATGCAATTTAAAATATACCACTAGCATTTTCATTGTAATATATTATCGTTTAAGGCCTTCATATACCTATAAATAAAAATAATTAATTTCCAGACAAAGTTAGAAGAGCTGCAAGATAATTCTGGAGATTTGTCGAGCTCCGTGCGCAAAAAGCGGCAGGCGCTTCACGACTCAAATAGGCGTTCATACACGGAACAGGTCGACGCTTCTACTCAAATAAGTGAAGGTAAAACCCCAACCGAATAAAGAAAGAAAGCCGAAACGCTGCGTGCAATTCAAGTTATTCAAAAACCAATCTAAAGCCATTTTTAACTTATTGTAAGAACACGCACTCGTGTACCCATATATATGCATCTAAAATAATTTACAACTAACTTGGTTTTAACTCCTCAACCCCCAAGCGGTCGCATTCGACCGCAGCCATATTCCGTCAAATTCCTAGCGGTCTCATGAGGTCGCACCCACCCACAGCACTTTAACCCTTAAAACTTTATGTATAGAGACTATTTTTCTATGAAGAAGTTTGGCATTATATAATCAATATGAAATACTTTATCCTCTAGTGCAATAATAAAGCTGTTATCTTATGAATATTTATATATAATATAATAATATATAATATAAACACTCACCCCTGTCACCCAGAGAGGTAGGCAGGGACTACGTACTTCCATTTGGCACGATCCTGACATACCTCTTTCGCCTCCTTTACATCCATATATCTACGCATACATGCTCGTCGGTTAAGGGTACTTCTAACGGGCCCATTTTCAAAATATCGCCAATTTGGTCGCTAAACTTTTTTCTAGGGCGTCCCTTCTCGACTCGGCCGTTCACATCTGCCATATAAATTTTCTTTGTCACTCTTTCCTCATTCATTCTTTCCACATGACCAAACCACCGAAGCATTCCTTTCTTAATCCTGGTCACAACATCATCTTGCATACCACATTTATCTCTTATCACGCAATTTCTCACCCTGTCATTCAAATTCAACCCTAGTATATTCCTTAAAGACCGCATTTCTACAGCATTTTCATTCTTTCGTGCTTCTTCTGCCACACCCAGCTTTCACTACCATACATTAAAGTAGGGACTAACACAGCATTATGAATTACCATACGTGCCTTTTTTGACACATTCTGGTTCTTCATAATAGAGTGTAGTGCCCCATTCACTCTATTCCCTGCATTTACTCGTCGTTCTATATCCCTATCATATCTACCATCCCTGCTAAATACACATCCCAAATACACAAACTCATCCACTTGCTCAATTAACTCCTTCTATTCTTATTTCACATACCGTTTTGCTTTCTTCTCTTTTAAAAACCATCACTTTCGTCTTACTTGCGTTCACTTTCATTCCCCTTTCTTTTAATTCCCAGTTCATCATCAATGTAACCATCATTTGCAACTCAGCCACCGATGACGCAAATATGACTTGATCATCGGCATACAGAAGGCATTTGACGGTTAACTCGCCCATTCTTAACCCACATTCTTCATCTTTCAAAGTTTGCAAACACCTGTCCATAAATAGGTTGAACAGCAAAGGGGAAGCTACACAGCCCTGTCTGACACTTTTTGGATGCCAAACCATTCCGAGTAGACCCCATTGATCCTAACACAAGCATTAGAGTTCCTATAAAGAGACCTTAATGCCTGTATCAAACCAGCGCTCAACCCATATGGGTTCAGTGTTTGCCATAACACATTCCTGTCCACTCTGTCATTGCCTTTTCCAACTCCATGAACGCACAAAAAACTTTCTGGTTTTTGGCCAAAAACTTCTCCGCAATCATGCGCATGGAAAAGACTTGATCTGTACACCCCATTCCCTTTCTAAAACCCGCTTGCACATCCCAAATTTTTCCATCAGTTTCTTTCATAACTCTTTCAATTAACACCTTAGCATACAGTTTTTATACATACAGTTACCCACAATACTAAGCAAGCTGATACCACAGTAGTTTTTGCAGTCCTGCTGTGACCCTTTTCCTTTATATATTGGTACTATAACTGCTTTACACCAGTCATCCGGTACCCGTTTTAATTCCCAACATAAATTAAACAAGGTGTACAGCAGGTCTGCACCACTCCCTCTCCAGCCCTTAGCATCTCGAGTGATACTCTATCATATCCGGCAGCCTTACCTGCTTTCATGCTTTTCATTGCTTTCATTATTTCATCTACACTTATCTCCATACCCCTTTCCACTATTTTCGGAATTTCTAGTTCATTTAATTCAGACGACTCTTCACTCATAAACACGCTTTCAAAATATTCCTCCCACCTGTTTAAATTTGAAACTTCATCATTTAGAATACATCCATTCTCGTCTCTTATAGCATTAATTATAGGCTGTTTTGTATTTCTCCTGGCAGTTCTTACGAGTTTCCAGAACATTTTTATGTTAGCCTGGAAATTATCAGATATTCTTCTATCATTCTTATCCGTTCTTTCTTTCTTTTTCCTTTCAACAACTTCTTTTACTCTCTTATTTAGACGTCTAAATTCTGCCTTTTTTCTTTCAATCTCATCATTCATACCAGAAGAATTACCAGCTTTGGTTGCTAGTAAATCTAACCATGCTTTCTTCTTTCATTCCACTTCCACTCGTACCTCATCATCCCACCACAATGTATAACTTTTCCTTTCATTTGTTCTCTTACTTACACCACATATTTCGGTGGCGGCATCCACCAAACCTTTCTTAATATTATCCCACACAGTATTCAAGTCTAAATCATTCATACACAACTCATTCAAACATCTAATATTTTCTCTCAGTCTACATTTATACTTCTCTTTCACATCTTCATCTTGTAACTTCTCTATTCTTATACGCTGTAACGCAGTGGTAGACACAGATGTCCGGTGCCGCCAACGCTTGAAAAGACCATTAATTCGACATAAGACCAAGTAATGATCTGTCCCTATGTTGGCGCCCCGGTAAACCCTTGTATCTACGACTGCGCTCCTCATTCTTTCATCCACAATTACGAAATCTATCATGCTTCTATCATCACCTCTTTCCCATGTATACATGTGAATTTTCTTATGACGAAAAAAAGTATTCGCCACAAAAAGATTCTTTTCCACACATACGGTGAGGAGGTCTTCACCATTCTCATTTATACTTTCATCACCAAACGTTCCCAATATCCTTTCATAACCAGACCTCTTCATCCCAACCCTTCCATTAAAGTCTCCTAACATAATAATATTTTCATTTTTCTTACATTTTGTCAACATCATCCTTACCATGTCCCAAAACTGCTCTCGGATGTAAGTGGGCTTAGACATGTCTGGGGCGTACACCCCTAGCAGTAACAGCTTCTTTAACCCCTTCGCTCTGACAGCGCGCGACATGTTATACTCCCGTTCGCTCGGGACCGTAATGGCGGGAAAATTTGCAAATTAGCAAATTTTTTTGCTATATTGCAAATTTTGCTATATTTTCACTTTGAGACAATATTTATGGATAAAACTTACAGGATTTCTTGTTGAATGTATAAACTATCGAATAAAATTATTTTTGGTTGCTAGAAATTGTAATAAAATACATAAATTACCCTGTATAGCATAGTAGTACCATATACTTCAATTTTAGTGACAAAATTACTACTAATTTGAATTCTACACTTTTGTTTTTGGAGAAATTTATATGAAAATGTTTGGAAATATGTATATTTTTATGTTTTATATGTTTCCATTCGTTACTCATACCAAAATATTGAAATATAAAAAAACAATAATAATATTTTATCTGTGTGACATTTAGAACAATATTTCAAAAATAATTATGTGTGAATTTGAAATAAATACAACGTCAAGTTATTTGAAATATGTAAGAAAACTATTTTTACTTACATTTTACACTAAAAATAAATGAGAATTTGAAAAATAACACATTTATGACCCAGCCGCCATAATGGGCCTTCCAGATTTTGAAGCACTTTTGGCAATTTACTTTTCACTTTTTATACCACAAATTATATATCTACGTGTTCACTATATTACAAGGAATATAAAAAAGTATAATACTTTCGTTTTTAGTCCAGACACAATTATAAAATTCTATAAAAAAGACGGAGCACCTTCATCAAAACGACACGTGGAACGCCGAAAGTTCAGAGTGATTTCTTTTTTTTTTTTTTTCTAAGAAACATTGCCAGGTTATGGTTTAAAATAAAAGAGCATATCTTTGTCTTTGATACTATTATCTATTGCATATTGTCTTTGGTTTTGTTTTAAAGGAAAAAGTAGTTTTTTCATAAGGCAGTACTTCTGATATTATCTGATCTAATTAGCCCCGTACTAGAGCGGGCGTAAGGTAGGTATTGTATGATCTGATTAGATTGGTAGCCGAGTGAAAGGGTTAAGCCCACTTTCATTCGTATCCATAGCAGCCTCGGGCTTACACATTCATACTCTTTCACACATTGACCCATTCTTTCTGAAAGGATGAAACCGACTCCCTGGCATACCCGTTCGGTCTCGTCTACACCAGACCAATACGCGGTATACGTGCCATGTACAGTGGCATCCTTTCCCTTTCGTTTCGTCTCATTCACACATAACACATCTATTCCTCTGTCATTCATCATTTCGCATACTTCATCCATCTTATCATTCATTCCTCCACATACATTCAGCGTAGCCAGACGGGTTTCCGCAATCCACTTTTCGCCCCTCCGGGAGACAGAACGTGACGGGTGGCGAACCTCGTCGCTGGTTTTTCTCCCGGAGATTCTTCGCACCCCTGCTCCATTAAAGGGGCGCCGGGAACTCGGGGCCATTTCTTTTATTTCCTGACTCATGGTGCGAACAAGGTGGTAGATTTTACGCCGCTACCATACGGCGAGGACCCGAGTCTATTTTTTCGGCTTTGTCGCTCGTTTAGCACCACCCGGGGGACACGTGTAGGGTAGGTGGTCGAAGCCTACGGACGCGAGCGACTCATCCCCTTCATATTTATATATAATCTACGTTTATTTCGTACGCCATTTTCGCGTGAATGTTATTTTGTTGATTTTTGAATTTTTGTAGTGTTTTAGTATAGTGTTTTGTTATAAAATGGTAATGAAAGTTTTTGTGTGAATATAATTTATCTATTTACATAAATAATTTCGAGTTATATATAGAAATAATTGTGATTTTCACCCTGCCGACATTCGCTTGGTGTATACAATAAAATGTTTTTGTAATGAAGTAAAACCTGACTTCTGTTCAGACCACAAGATAGAGAATTTTGTATAGATTTTATAATGCTCAACTTCTTCATAGAAAAGTCGTCTCTAAATATAAGTTTTAATGGATTTAAGTGCTATGGGAGGGTGCGGTCGCTTGCGAGCGCTCGGGATTTGAAGGGCGCATGCGACTGCACGGGATTTTTAAGGGGCTTGAGGGGTTAAGTGCATATGTGTGCATTCTACAGTGAACTTTTAGGGCTGATTAATAAAAGGTTAACCGTATTTGTATAAACTGTGCCACGGCTGCCTGCGCCTTCCACTCTGGGAATTCAAATAATATTGCCAATAGTTTTTTTTTTATAGGAGAGGAGGCAAACGAGCATAGGGCTCACCTGATGGTGATTACTGCCGTCCAAGAACACTGCAACACCAGGGGAATTGCAGATGCGTTGCCAGCCTTCAAAATGAGTAGGCTCTTTTCTTGAAGGTCCCTAAGTCGTATCGGTCCGGAAAAATCAAGGAAGTTGTGCGAGGAAGAAAACTTCTTTTAAATCGCACGGTTGTGGACCGCCAGTCATTCAGATGGTATGGATAGTATCGTGAGTTTTATCGCGATGTGCGATGTTGAAATTGTGTGGCTGGAATTAGTCCAAAGAACGATCCAAATTGCTCAGAGAGAAAAGAGATACGACCAAGGGTTTCTTGTTAGCGGTAAACGCGCAAACTTGTCTTCTGGGAATTAAACTGGACTAGATTTAGTCGCCCCCAGTCCGAGATTTTGTTCAACCAAATCTCGACTTCAGACACAAGTTTGTTCCGGTACTCGGCGACGTTTTACCGAGAAATATTGGCAGGGCCGGTGTATAAAACATCACCAGTGCTGTTGTTTGCAATGAATGTTACCGGTTTGCAACATGTCATTGATATGCAGAAGAAACAGCGTTGGTGATAGCACGCAGCCTTGTAGAACACTAGCGTTAATGGGCTTGTAATCGGAGCTTGCACCGTCCGCAACGACCTTGATGCTCCGATCAGCAAGAAAACTGGTTATCCAATTGCACAATTTCTCGGGAAGCCCATAGGAAGGAAGCTTCGTAAGAAGCGCTTTATGCCAAACCCGATCGAAGGCCTTCGCTATGTTCAAACTAACGGCCAACGCCTCCCCCTTGGACTCTACTGTCTCTGCACATTTATGAGTTAGGTAACCTAGAAGATCAGCAGCCGAGCGACCGCGATGGAAAACCGTACTGGCGGCCACTAATCAGCTGGTGATCCTAAAGGTACCACATGAGCTGGCTGTTAATAATAGATTCCATTATTTTAGAGAACAAGGACGTGATGGCGATAGGCCTATAGTTGGACGGATCAGAGCGGTTACTTTTTTTAGGGATCGGGTGCATGAGGGCTGTCTTCCATAATTTTAGGACTACGCCTAGGGAGTAGGAGTACCGGAAAAGACGCGTTAAGACCGGTGCCACCTCCGGAGCACACGTTTTCAGCACAAGACGCCATCAGGCCCACTTGACTTGTTGATGTCAAGGGAGAGGAGTGCTCTGCGCATCGAGAGTTGGGTAAACAGCACATCCCGCATGGAGCACTCACTCTGCGGGATGGTCGACGGTGTATTACCCCCGTCATCAAGAGTCGTGTTGGACGCAAAGATAGAGCCCAGCAGATCGGCTTTGTCCTTTAGGTCATGGCCCAGTGAGTCGTCCTCTCTGTGCAGAGATAGAAGAGATGGATGGCAGAAGTTCCCTTGGACAGCCTTGGCGAGAGACCGGAATACACGTGTTCCCGAAGGAAGACGAACTAGTTTCACGTCAATTCTGCCGATGTGCTCTCACTTTGCCTTAACAATGACACTTTTGAAGGACCTGGAAGCAGAATTATACTTCTTTTTAAGAGCGCTGGTATTTACATCCCGAGATGTCGATGCGCGAGCTCAGGCCTGGTAACACTCACGATAAAATGTTTGATACCATTGAAATGCATAGTTAAATATCACTTTAAAGTAATTTTTTTATTTTTCTATGGTTACACAGCATCAAATTAAATAAAATTGTCGTTAAAACAACCTGTTTTGTTTTATTAATTTCCCTATAGTAATTCATAAGGTATAATATAAACAAATTATCACCATTATATAGTTATGTCGCACTTTTAACACCCGCGTGTCGCGCACTGCCCATCGACTCTTGGGGACCCACTCCGAATATTGAATATGACTCTTAATTCATAAACCCCGTTGTTCTAAGTTTGTGAATTCTATTTCACATAGTCATCTTTTAAAATACCCATATATCAATAAAATTAAATTGCGGCATAATTTATGTAATGTCATATAAATTTACCACATAATAAGTAAAATAATTGACAAATTTTTAAAAATTTATCTCGTTATCATTAACAATACAATCAAAATAAGCAATAAGTACATATTGTTCATTCTACCCATGTAGTATGTTGGTGAGGATAATCTATGACGATAAGCAACCGCGCATGCGCGACGACCATCAATAGCGCACAATTTTTTGTTTGAAAGAGCTGCTCTAGTTTCCTCACTGGGTTTAACTGTCGTCATTTCTTGTGCTTTGCGGTATTCATGGTTACTCATGGCCCCTGTAATTTTATTCCTTTTATTTAAAAGCTGGGGATCCCGTTGTGACCACGAGTGCTACAAAACACTCGAAATGTAAATAAAACGATATCATATGCTGCTTACAGTGGTTCATTTGAAAACATTTCATTTCAGATTTCCTTAGTGATCAGGTGGAGCGCGACAGTGCCCAGTCGGTTACTGATGACACGCAAACCAAGCAGATTAAGCGGCTGAAAATGGTTTGTCCCTTGCTCCATTTGATATTTTTCAGATTTCTTCATTTGCTTGTAACGAATTGGTCGCAATATAAGACGTATCGCACTTTTGACGCTACTTACTGTATTTTATATATCCGACATAAACGAAATAATATATTGCCATCTATGGGTTTTAACTAGGCCCTGAGGTCTTTCTGACCTTACCCATTTGTCTCCCGACATTTTTTTCGCACTCTAATGTAAACCATTTTGTTTTTTAAAAGCATATATTTTAGTTAACTCAGTCTTTAAACCTAGCATTAAGTGGATTGTGAAGCTGTAAATTTTAATACACAAAGCGATAACGTTTTCCCCTATGTAAACACAGTCTAATTTTCATAATTTTTGGAAATGTTGTGATGTAATGAAAAACTAGGTCCTTACGTTTTCACTTTAAAGAAATATTGCGTGCTATGTAGGTTATTAGCATCTAAATATCTATATTTTTAAATTAAAAACTTCCTCGAGCGTTTTTTAATTTTTTTTTTAATTAAACTAAACTCAATTACTAACAAAGAAAACCTAGATTAAGGTGTACTAAATTGAATGAAGCCAAAATTGTCTCATTTCATGAAGATTTATGGGGGTGAAAACGTTATCGCCAGAAGCCATATTTCAAAAAGGAAATGTACGCAAGACTTGCAACTCTCTCTATCACGCCCGGTGAGAAGCTGAGCGAGAGGTATGAAACAGATAGCATTTTTGAAAATACCTACTCGCGCCACGTATCGGCACTTCACAATCCTCTTAAGTTGTCTGGCACTTATTTTAGTGATCCAACACATAGATTTTATGTTTCTGACAATGTAAATGTTAACCAAACAAAACCTTTATAAGATATGATGCTCTTAGGACAGTACTAAATTTAATTATCAGAGTAACTGGTTACTACACCAATGCTACTGAGCTTGAATCTGAAAAAAAGTGAAGCTACAGCCTATATTCGTCCCACTGTCGTCCCACTGGGCACAGGCCTCCGCTCATTTCTGAGAGAGTTTTAGGGCAAGAAATTGTCCGCCGCGCAATGCGTGTTCGCGAACTTCACATGTCTTCGAAATATTTTCTTTTCTTATTTCTCTGGCATGCAGGTTTCCTCACGATATTTTCCTTGACCGCCAAGCACGTGGTATATCAGCACTTAAAATTGCAATTAAATAACAATTTCATTGGTTCCGGCGGGGATCGAACTCGGTTTGCTCGCGTACTGTGAAATTTATAGCGAGCGCTAACCATCTGAGCTACCACGGCTCCGGAGCTTGAATCTATTTCGAAGCAAATCACCAAATCATAGTATCCAATTATGTTGGGAAGTTGGGAAATTGTCGGCGAGGTAAATTGGCCAAGAAGATGTCTTTCAAGCAAATTAAGGTAAAACAGAGAATTTACCGAAAAAATAAATGTGTTTCATTGTATCGATGGCGTATCCAAATTTTAGCCAGGAGGGGCCAGCCTTTTTAAATAATCCTAGATATATAGAAATATGCATTTTTACTTCTTTAAAAAATTATAAATACTAATCGGACACAGGATCAATTACCAACTTATTAGCTTAGCTTTCAGCACATATAGATAGAAATCTTCTAAGGTAGTAATATTGTTACACTCAAAAAAATCAACAAAAATACAGTATTTACAGTAATAATAAGATGCAGGTCTTGTTATAGCGAATGAAACGTATTCTGATATAATTACTTACAATATACAGATGGTAGAGACATTGTCCCAGCAGAAAGCTGAACTGGAACAACAGCTGAGTTTGTTACCAACAGCCCCCGTCTACGTCGCGACGGGCAGCGCTATTGTACAGGTGAGCCTACACACACACACACGCACTTACAAGCGCGCACTTACACGCACGCGCACGCAATTAAAAAAATGTTAACATCTAATTTCTTACAACAATCAAAGCTACACCCTATAATGTCTCAGTGTTGGACTGCAAGCCTATCATTTCTGAAAAGTTTATGGAACAATTAATCCGTCGCGCTGCTGCAATAAGTGTAACTATCCGGAATTAAAAGTACTTAAGATTCGAAAATCACACTAATATTTTATTAAAATGTTATATACATAAACATTAATACATACGAAAAACATTAAATGTGATTACGTGTGGGGTGAGTAAAAATGCCGATTACGATGAAAATTTTATTTTACAATTCTCAAATTATTAATTCTCCGATCATCTACACACGCTTTTATACTCTAAGAGGAGTTTAGAACTTTCTGGGTTATTTCAATCTTTCGACCGGAAGGTACTAGAGCACTAGCGAACTACAAATGCATAATCACCACATACAACATGTAACAAAAACCTTGTGGTTCTCGTTAACTGCGTTATCAGTATCAGTATCCAAGCATATAGAAAATTTTTTTTCAAAAAAAACACATTTAAAAAAATATTTTAATGAAAAAAAAAATTCATATAAAAAAAACTCATTTAAAAAAATTAATTTTGATGAAAAAATATTAATTTGCAAATTTTATGTGGTTTTATTATCTCTGCATTGGCCGAGGACTGAGAGGATTGTCAAAAAACCCGCAGTACCGATACTCGTGTGAGTTACTTACTTACTTACTTACTTATCTTCACGCACAATCCCTAACGGGGTAGCCAGAGAGAACAGATCGCCAAGTGTCACGATCCTTACATACCTCTTTCGCTTCTTTCAGGTTCATTAACTTCTTCATACATGCACGTCTAGGTATCCGAGTACTCTTGACCCTCCCCTCTTCGAGCAATTTGCTCACATGGTCTTCGAAAGTTAGTCTCGGTCTACCTCGACACCTTTTAATATTTACTTTCGCTCTATATATTTTCTTCACCATTCGGTCTTCACTCATTCGTTCAATGTGCCCAAACCATTGCAGTACGCCCCTATTAATTTTTGTGATAAGGTCACCTTTCAATCCTGCCATATTGCGAATCTCTTCGTTTCGCTTTCGGTCGGCTATGGTAACGCCACACATTTTACGAAGAGATCGCATCTCCACTGCATTCAACTTGCTTTTATGCTTCTTCTGGCATACCCAGGTTTCGCTGCCATATAACAAAGTCGGTACCAACACTGCGTTATGTATTGCAAGGCGTGCACTCTTCACCACGCCTTGCCTTTTTACTAATGCGTTCAGGGCACCATTGACTTTGTTTCCGGCAGCGACACGCCTATCCACATCTAAATCACATCTTCCATCCCGGCTGAAAGCACTCCCCAAGTATACAATTTCATTTACCTGTTCTAGACATTCCTGATTTACCCATATTTCACATTTCGTTCTCTCTTCGTCCTTTTCAAATACCAGAACCTTAGTTTTATTAGCATTCAAACGGAGACCTTTAATTTCACATTCCTCTTTCATACACGTGACTAATGCCTGCAGTTCTGCTTCTGATGGTGCAATAAGCACTGCATCATCAGCATACAGCAGACAATTAACTTTTATGTCACCCAATTTCACACCCATACAGCTATTTTTCAGCTTCTGTAAACAGCTGTCGAGATACAGTATGAACAGCCAGGAAGACATGACACAACCCTGTTTTACGCCCGCTTGGACGCTAAACATGGGTGACAGGACAGACATCGTGTGAGTTAGAGATAATAAAACCACATACAATTTGCAAATTAATATTTTTTCATCAAAATTAATTTTTTTAAATGAGTTTTTTGAAAAAAAATATTATTTCTAAGTATATGCTTGGATACGATTCTAATAACACATTTAACGGGAACCACAGGGTTTTTGTTACATATTGTATAAAATTAAAATTACAGCCTTTACCGTCCCACTGCTGAGCACAGGCCTCCGCACATTTCTGAGAGGGTTTTAAGGCAAGAAATTGTCCGCCGCGCTGCCCCAATGCGTGTTGGCGAACTTCACGTCTTCGAAATAATTTATTTTTCTTATTTCTCTGACATTCCGGTTTCCTCACGATGTTTCCCTTCACCGCTGAGCACGTGGTAAATCAGTACTTAAAATATCAATTAACAATTTCATTGGTGCTGGCGGGGATCGAACCCGGTTTGATCGCATACTGTGAAATTTACAGCGAGTGCTAATCATCTGAGCTACCACGGCTCCATTATCTCCATATATAATAGGAAATAATGTATTCTACTCATTCTCACGCAGGCTAAATCCTATAGATTTTGTATATGTTGGGTTCTTTTTAATGTCGCTTTTCCGTATCATTTAATTTCAAATCACAATTATTTTAAAGAAGTTTTCGTTTCAAAAAAAAAAAAAAAGAATTGACAAATGAGCTGATGCAGACTGTCAACTGATCTTAAATGACTACAGTCCATGGGATCCTGTAACCAAGTTCAAACAGAGAAGTAGCAGTGTCTGCACTACTGTTGGGCGTATATAGGGTTCGAGGGTGGTACCCTCACAAGCGCAAAATGAGTTCTACCATCTACACATTTCTCGAAATATTTCATTCCTTAGACTTGCAGGTTTCCCGAAGACGTTTTCTTCACCATTTGTCACCCATCAACCCGCCTATAAGAATTTCGCGAATTACACAACGTTAACAATATGTTCAAAAGAGAAAAGGCTTCATATAAGCAGTTGCGTGTCTTGCTTGCATCATTTTTTTTTATAGAAAAGGGAGCAAACGAGCATACGTTTCACCTGATGTTAAGTGACTACCGCCGCCCATGATCAACCGCAACACCAGGGGAATTGCAGGTGCGTTGCCGGCCTACAGAAAGGAGTAAGCCATTTTCTTTAAGGTCCATTAATCGGAGCGTAATTTATTTATGGCTACACATTTTATTACTTGGCAGAAGCCATTGATCCTTATCATCGGGAACATTCTCGTGCAACGTGATCCAACTGGCTGTCGTAACAATATTTATAATTATTAAATTCTGATATTTTACAGAATCAGCAGCTAACTGATGTCATGAAGGAGAACCAAAAGCTAAAAAAGATGAATATCGAATTAATTACACTGTGCAAGAAGAGAGGCAAAGCTCTGATCAAATCAAACCGAGAGAACCAAGTTCCCACTGAAGACATCTGAATATAATTATTATGTTTAAAACTTTATTACCTTAAATTCCTCAAATTTTAAATGAAGATTAATTTTATATGCAAAGAACTTAATTTGCAATCTATTTGCTTACAAAATTATATTTCTAAATCCATGAATGTGACAAATTTTGTGGCACAAATAATTGTTATAAGTTTTAGGGGATTATAATAACGGTGAATATTATACACATCGATGATGATTGATAAAGACTGATTATAGACATGCTTGATACACATTCCGAGAGGTGCATTTAGTTCGATCAGTATTGAACAAAATTAGGGGACCGAAATCTTGACGTCATTATTGGTGCCGTTGTAGATTATGTAGTCACAAGAAACCTATTGCAATATTACAATTTTTGGTACAATAGTATTATTATCTTGTACTTAAAAACTCCGTGTTGTAAAATGTGTTTTTATGCTTCTTATAATATTTGTTGTATATGTATATATAGTTCCATTCATAGCACAAAATATCGCCAACTATGTATTAATAAAACAGTCTTTGAATTAGCAATTTTTTAAACTAATCTTAATATGTATAATCTAAATTTAACATGTACGCCAATGAAAATCTCTTATATTCTATGTATGTGAAATGTGATTAAAATGTGATTTATATGACCCGCAGTTAATTATTGTAAAATCATCTGTTTTTAAGAATTAAATTCTGATGACACAACCACTTATTTTTTAATCAAACCCAAGTGTAGTGGATTATATTTGACCTATACACAGTCTTGTTCATTAGTTGGTTTTTATCAAACAAAGCGCTCCGATCAGAATTTTTGAAATTTGGAAATATTGATATATTTTTTAATGTAATGCTGACAAGCGTACATTTTTAAGAGGGCGTCCATTAATTACGTGAGGTAATTTTTCTACCCTCAGAGGGTCGTGGGCCATTTTACCAAGGGGAAGGGCCCTTGGTGAAAAGCAGCCACGACCCTCCACCCTATCTCCAATCCCACGTGCGATTCGAAATCTGCTTGATTACGTTGGGTTCATTCAAAAAAATAATAATTTGCCTAATTATTTTTATACAGGTATTTGGAAGATGGGTGCAGTCTGAAAGGGATGATACCCTAAATCATTTAGAACATTATTAAGCTAAACTTGTCTTAGACGAAGTCTGCTCCTATTTTTAATTGATTTTGTAAGGTTTTTGTGAAATGTATACTTGTTTTCTCGGTGTATCATATTCCACACCTAAACCGAAATGTCCATACAGCGAAATTGAAAGCGCACTGGGGTAGACATAGCTATTAAATTAGTTCGCATGCGTTCGCAAATTTCTAGCTTTAGTTTTTGAACGTCAAAGTTATATATCATGACTCATGATACATTTTAATTTCTATCAAGGTATGATAGAAATAGTATTCGCACCACGGGAGGAAAGTGTGACATCACAACTTACTTCAGAAGCCCTGTGATTAGGTTTTTTTTATACAGGGCTCACCTGATTGTAAGTGATTACCGCCGCCTATGAACAACTGCAACAACAAGAGAATTGCAGATGCTTTGCCGGCCTCTTAAAAAGAAAAAGGCTCTTTTCTTGAAGGTTCTATTATTATTATGGGGTGTATATATATATATATATATATATATATATATATATATATATATATATATATATATATATATATATATATATATATATAGTTTTCTCATCTGGTTGGGTTCTATAAATATATAATTTTAAATTAAAATGAAAAGATAAATATACACAAATATCAACAAAATAAATACAAAAAATACATAAATAAATAAAGATCCAACCAGATGGAATCCCTCGGCAGGGGAGACCAAACAGCCGAGGGTTAGGAAGAAAGGGAAAGAAACCGGCGGGCGATATCGAGCATAGATAAAGGTGTATAATATACGGAAAGTATCGAGGAGCACTGCCTTCTGCATTTGAGCCCGCATTTGGGTTCGTTACGGAGTCCCAGTCGCCTAAGATGACCCGAGAGGCTGACTGGGATTAACCCATTCGCAGAGACGACTACAGGAATAATTTCGGCCGGCAGACCACCCCACATGTCGGTCACTTCGTGAGCCAGGTCCAGATATTTTGTTTTCTTATCTGTTTCGGCTTTCACGAGGTTCTCGTCATATGGAATGGTAATGTCGACCAAAAATATCCTTGACTGTGCCCAGTCCATCAGCACAATATCAGACTTATTCGCAAGAATAGTTCTGTCTGTGATGATGACATGCCTAAGCAACTCACCGGGACGGCGGTGCCATTCTTTAGGATGTATCTCCGATAGTTGTTGGTCTTAATAACTTGATCCTGTATTGCACAGACAAAACCCTCGGTTTCCCCGAAGAGGTCACCGAAACGTAGCCAGTTGAGGGAGGCGACTGTATCTACGAAGGGCTCATGTAGAGCCCTGTAGTACCTCCCGTGGAGCTCCTCCTTGCATACGGTCTCCCGGTCGTAAATGCTCTGCACTGCCGGGTCCTGCCATTGCTCGTTGGCTAAAGATAGAGGAGTAAGCCCTTTATCACTAGAAATGGCGTCATTATAGAATGGATCATCCGATCTCGCCAGGAAGTAATGTCGGAGGCTGCACACTTCGCGATTATGCATTGTGAGCGCGCTCAGGAAGTCACGCCCACCATGCTTTCGCGGCAGGTACAGCCTCATTACCGACCATTTTAGATGATGCATCCTATGGGACGTCATGGTAGTGCGGACTTTTCTATCCAGGGCGTTAAGTTCAGTCTGAGTCCACCTGAGTATGCCAAAGGTATACATGAGGACAGGCATGACCCAGCCGTTATATGCGTGTGTCTTATTCACACTGGACAAAAGGCTGTTATGCACTTTGATCAAGCGTGCATAAAACACGTCACAAACTCACGATGTTCTGTGACATACCCAGGTATCGGTATGTTTCAGCCTGGGAAAGGGTCCTTAAATTGACGGGCATAGATAAGTCTATGCCCTCACAGTTAGCAACCCTTCCCCTTTCAACATGGAGGACCGCAACCTTATCCGTCCCCAGCTCCATTCCAATAGAATTGCTAAATTCACAAGCGAGCGACTGGAGGCGAATAACTTGAGGTCAGCCATATAGAAAAGGTGGGTCACTTTTGTATCTCCTCTCCGAAGTTGAAATCGCCTCCCGGAGCCCTCCAGTAAAGTACTGAGAGGGTTCAAAGAGAGGCAGGACCAGATTGGACTCAGACGGTCGCCCTGGAATATACCCCTTCTTATCCTTATGCGGCTTTCCGCAGCTGTCACCCGCTCGCCTAGATGACAGAGGATCGTACACCACTGCCCCTTACACTGCCCGGGGAAGTCTCTAAATGTACAGTCAATCTTGTACAGCTTGAGGACCCTCTTTAGTCATGTATGGGGCACCGAGTCGAACGCCTTCCAGTAGTCCATCCAGGCGACGGAGAAGTTCCGACGGTTGCATTTCACCACTTTGCCTATGACCGCGTCAATGAGGAGTGGTTCCTTGGTTCCACGACCACCACCCCGACATCCATTTTGAGCGCGTGACATCACCTGGTTTAGCTCCAGGTGACGAGTGATTCTCACGCTCAAAATGGATGTCAGTGTCATATATGGTGGGTGTTGGTGATGTAAGCCACTGGTGTCGTCTGGGAGTAAAATAAACTAAAAAAAATTGGTGAGCGCGTGTACATCCGCGGGGAGGGAGACATAGGTGTCACCCCGTATGATGTTCTAGTGCAAACTGACTAAGCGCGGGAACATGAACTCCGCGGTGCAACACCGATGTTGCAAAATATACCTTCATCCTACAATAAAAATCGCGGTAAGTGCCACCGTCCCCGTATGCACACGTACTTATTTATTATAGAAAAACAACAAGTACAAAAGGTAACTCACAATTTCTTATGTGTATATATTTTACATATACTATGTTTTATTAATTAATATTATTTATATTTCAGATATCCGAGAAGCAACGTGAGCGTCGTTAACATCCTCCCCCAAGTGTCGGTTCGCCGACACTCATTACCAAGAAAGGCCACGCGAGCAGCTGATCGCTTCATCACTCCTGACTTAGTCTTAACGTCAACTACTCTAACTCTGCCGTCTGAACCTGGATACACCTTTTCAATAACACCCATTGGCCAACAGTTACGAAATAATGATGGATCGACTATTACAACAAGATCCCCTACTATTAATTGCGGAGCTCCCCTATCCCATTTACGACGAGGTATTAGCTCTGGCAAAAACTCTTTTACCCATCTGCTCCAAAATAAGTCTGTCAACCGTTGGACAATACGCCACTGTCGTCTAAGATACATGTCTCCATCGTCGAAGACTCCGGGTACAGTAAGTTCGAAGAAGATCCTAGTAAAAAATTATTTGGAGTTAATGCCTCTTTGCTTTGAGGGTTCACCGAAACATGGGTAAGCGGTCTACTTATACTATATTTATATACTATAATTATACTTTCCAATAAAATACGCGATGTTTTAATTCTATGATCTTTTTTGTAGTCGCTGCCAAGCGACATGGTAATAACGCGCCTTAAAGTTCGAGTTTAGGCATAGTTATCGGTTTTAACGGCGCGACGCAACTTTTACTCGCAATGAATGACACCTGCACGCCGTTGCTGTCTTGTTTACGCCAATATGTAACACATGAATAGGCGCATGGAGATGCATCACAAAAAATTAGCAACTGCAACGACGTCTCATTTTCGTTTACAGCGCTACCACCCTTCTCGTTCACACCGACCGAGTCGTCGTCATAAAAATACCAGCGCGGAATACGAACGTTACTCATAGCTTGTAATTGCGAAATCCACTCTTTAAGGCTCCTACAATGATCAGTAACTTTGACGATTTAGACTTTGTTTAAATTTAGCGACATCTAACAAAAGCAGGCGTACTACATGTTGGAATTTATAACTTACACAGTGAGCACTGGTGGAGTTTCCAAAACCCACACAAATTCAAAGAACATGCACATCAAGTTTATTTTAGTGTTAACGTTTG